TTTCCAGTTGGTGCTTGCCATATGAAGCAGTCTGGTACTTCCTGAAATGTGTGTGATTCACCTGTAGTGTCTTCGCTTTCACGGTAATATTTATGGCTGAATTTAATTCCTCATCTAGGACTGAATCTCCTATGAAATTCGGATAAATTTCAGTGTTAGGTTTAGGGAGAAGTTTGAAACTACCCGAAATTGGATGCTGACATTGTTTACTGATCGATGTATATTTACTCGTAAAAATTACTGTTTATAGAGCATGATCGGATCATATGTGAAATGACAGAAAAATCAGTTTTTTTCAAAATAATGTGATTTCATATTTAATTACAAACTGAAGTAAAAATTATTTTAAGAATGTGCTTGATTATTTGAAGCTAACTTTTGTTATTTACCTCAATAATGCTATAAATTGAGTCTACTTGATTATGATTAGCAGTAATGAGGAACGTATTCATCAGAGAGGCAGAAGCAGCATGTAAGACGAGAAATCTATTCAGGTGTATCAAAGAAACACTTGATGATTAGCTATTCATGAAACTATCTCTAAAAAAGGCATAATAAGAACATACTCTTAACTCAGATAGTTAAAACATAGAGGGGACAATTTAACGGCTCTCCGGCTCTTCCAAAACTGGGTACTGTTACCAAACAACCTGAACAAGAGGTCAACTTAAGCTACCCAACTCTGAAAACACTTTAAAAATTTAGAGCGAATCCAAATCAAGAGAGACCAGAAGGAACTTATAGACTAACTCTGAGTATCTTTAGGGAAGGGGGTTTATTTTTTGTTCGTATGACTGATGCGTATTGAGTAGAGTTTGACATAAGTCTAACACAGTTCTGTTTGTGAAGACCTTGATATAAAGTTTTCTGGATACTTTCGTCAACAATATGAATATGTTCAGAACAAACTCCTTTCCCTCCGAATTCAAAATAAGACTACAGGACTGATCTGTGTCATCACCCTAAACTGTCACAGGAACAGATGTATCATAATACATCTAAAGCTTACCTTGGGAAATCGATTCAGTCCCAGGAGTTTTGGTTGTAAGGAAATCTTATTGTTGATTCAAAAAGCTCGCATAGCTTATATCAACTTGAGTAACTAACGATTTAGGTTTGACGTCCATCAGCCAGTCAAAGAACCACTATAATACACACTAATCTGCTCTCGGTTACTGGCTATCAAATAGCCTTTAAAAACGGAAGTTCACGGGCTTCAGATTTCTGATAGCAGGTTTCTTAGAAACATTGATCCTATATCGTGAAACAATGTAGAGGATAGTAGCGATGTCGTACATAAAATACTAATCAAAAGGTGTTATATCGTTCGATGAATCACCGAACTGTTATTGACTGAAGTGGCTTGACATGTGTATGATTATCTCAGATCGCAATGTTACCTGAATATCTTTTGTAAAATTTGATAAGAAGATTAATTTTTTGGTTGAGAAATGATCATTTCAATAAGCATGTTCATACCACTATTTTCTTTTTCAGTAGTATGATAAAATATTTGTTAGAATGTTAAGACAGTCAGTAGATTGGTTTTCACCACATCGAACGAATCACAATCCCATATAAATTCAGAGATAAGTTTTGCATTCAAAATCTGTTTCTAATAGAATATTATTTTTTAATAAATACATATATTTTCTTATTTCACCTAAGTCACATTCATTTGTACTAATACAATGAATGTTATCCCACTTACATATTTAAGGAATGATTGCAACAAGTAATTTTTTAATGATGTTCACTAAAAATAGAATCAAACATTGTTATATCGATTCAAAGAAACAATGGTCAGTTCCATTATGAATTACTTGACTGATATGGTGACATCTTTGTAGGAATGTCGATTAATTTTTTAAAAGTTTCATTCATTTCTAAGTGCTGTATTATTTTATTGGTATATTCATAGACAAAAGCAGGTAGGCGGATTTCGAGTATACGACGTTGCATATTCTGTATTATCGATTAATTTGAATGGATATTTCATATGCACGGATTTTGTTACATCAAGCAGTGTTTAACTAACTCTAAAGGTTTTATGACATTTTCTTAATATAAACAAAAAGTAATTGCATTTTTTTTAAAATCTGTGATTATCAAAATGACATTATTCTCTATATAATTTAAAATGTGAATTCTTATTCTGAATGGTCTGTATTAGGAGAAAGATTTTGTGATAAAGAAAAAAAACTATCTTGTATTTCTCTAGAACTAACATATTTAGACGATGAATCATTCGTACATTTTAACAAAAACAACAACAACCACAACAGAAAATAAATAAACTAGGACACAGATAATTTAAATCAATATTGTTTTCTGCACTGTGTCTATGTGGGAAAATGCAACAATAGTTTAGATGTTCATTGATCGAAAGTTTATGGTAATTTATAAACATGTTTTTTATAGAATCTATTGCATGAATCAGTAAGAAAATGATTAAGAAATCAATGTTATTTTTTAGGGATTTTTGTCGCTTTGTATACATATTGTTTTGCTGAATCAATTCAAACACCATTGTAAATGTTCATGTAAGTTTCTAGAAGTTAATGGAAAGACAATTATTCAGATATTTTTTCAATTAGAGTTATGGAGATTAGTGTTTTTACACATTGAAATGATCAATCAGTCAATGTTAGACCACCATTAGAAACTTGAAAGCACTGGACGGCCGTTTCGTCCTGTTTCAGCTGGTTCGAATCGTTCAGGAGTTGTGGATGCACGCTGTTGATGAGTCCCATACGAGGATGAAATGGCCGTACAGTGCTTCTAGGTTTCTAATGGTGGTCTAACAATGATTGATTTATGATTTCAATGTGTATTTAGATATTGTCAAATATTAATTTACACGAAGTAGTAGTAAAAATAATTGTGAAAATAGGAAATAAGAAATACTGTCCAAATATTTGTTCAAGTCATTTTGGGAAATGTATGAAAAATCGAATCAGACTTCAAATAATTTCTGATTTCTTCTGATTCTGAGGATTTCAACCTGCACATGTAGATGTTTTATGGCGTAAAAAGCAAACTATTGTTGAATGATTGATTACATTTAATTAACTTAACAGTGTGTACAGGAAAATGCGTTACATCTTATTTGGGACTAGTCAGCTGAAAGTATCTCCATTTCAGAGTTGATGCTCAGTCAGGGATTTGAATTCAGTATCGTTCGCTCCGAATTCTATCGCGTCAAAAGCTTAACTACTGAGTCCAGACAGCCATTTTCTTGTGAAAAAGGGTGAAGATTAACACATTTGTATTGGTTATTGGAAGCTTAAATTGAACACCTCCGGGATGCAAGTTTATTCAGCTGACATGTCTCAAATAGTATGAAACCAGTGCCATGGATTTTAATGCCATTCACCATACACCTCTGCTTGTAAACCCCTCGACATAACGACAATATCGAATCGATTTACAAAGAATTTACACATGCTAAGTGAGACAGTTTAATGGAACGATTCGAACAACCAATAAAAATTAATTAAACTTAACGGTCTTGATTTTTCAATCTATATTATAATGTTTCTATTGTTAGATAAAAATGTTCTGTAAGCAAAATTAATCATGAAGTAACTTATCTGACGTAAACGATCAAACTATCAACAACATGATAAACAATACTCTAATTTATGTACATCCTGAGAAAGTGATAACAAAAGATGACATTAAACTATTTCAATACGTGTTACGTAATACAAAAGGGTTGCATATCTCTTCACTTTAAGTTTGTTCATTATTTCTAGTGTAAAACTTGAGTGAATTGTTTGGGTGATGTTGGTTTTTTATACATCCCCTTTATATTTAGTTTGAAACTCGTTAACTGTTTACAAAGTTAAAGATTATTCCAACGATTATAAATTAGGTTCCTTTGAAAATAAATCTAAACTATAAATGTTAGGTATTTTACACATTGAAATCATCAATCAATCATTGTTAGACAACCATTAGAAACCTAGAAGCACTGGAAGACCGTTTCGTCCTGGTATGAGACTCATCAGCGGTGTGCACCCTGCCGGGTGAAGGCAGTAACTACCAGAGACAAATGGGTGAGGTTGTGCAAAATCTCTAGATCAATCAAAGTTAGACATTAACACCGTTAGATGCTGGACAGTGGTCCAGAGGTTAGGCGTTCGCGCACAATGCCGAAAATCCCAGTTTCGAATCCTGCGAGGTTCAGGAGTCGTGGGTGCTCACTGCTGATTAGTCCCGTACCAGGACGAAACGGCCGTCCAGTGCTTCCAGGTTCCTAATGATGGTCTAACGATGACTGATTGATGATTTCAATGCGTAAAAACACTAATCTCCATCACTCTCATTAAAAAATTGTTTTTTTAGTTGACTGCTATGGGTTAAATCGAAATACAAAAGAGTATCAGCTTTGTGTAGTACCATTATTAGTGCTGATCGATATAGACATATAGGAATAGAGAAAGACCAATGAACACATTGTGTCAGGAATCGGAGGAAGACATTAAAAGAATGTACAGTGGTTAGATCGTATTCAATAGAATTCTTAAACAATGAAATGTGTGAGAAGTTTTCTTTTATAATTCGTTTGGCCCTAAATGCAGGATAATGATCCAAACAAATCAATTGATAAATTGCGGTGATATATTCAAAATACGATCAGTCTATTTATCCCACCGTCATTTCTACAATTTGGCAAACATGAATGATTGCATCAAACTGATCAATTACTTATCTTCCCAATAAAATTAGAAAATGTCATGATATTTAGGTATATTGTAGGCCTAATTACAATAACCGATTAAGTAATGTATTCTAGAATTTCTAAGATTTAATCACCTACTTTCTTTTACTATTATTCTATGACACTCAATGCACACAGTATCGATTACGAAGTTTTGGCCAATCTCTCCATTTGAACTAGGCCAATACAAACACATAGACATACACAGACAATGAGATGAAGTTAGATTATTCAGTCTTCCTCCTCTTATTACTAAAATAGGTAGGTATTTATTTTGCCCTAGCAAGCGCACGCACAATCACAATATCTTATGGTGGTGTGTAAATTTATTTTGAAATTCGTTTTGTGCATTTTTTCGAAATAAAATACCGTCATCAGATTGGCTGGCAGAAATAATTCGTTTTCATTTTATAAAATTATAGGCTAAAATCAACCGAATTATACAGCATATTTGTGGATTTCCTCTTTTAGTTATTCAATAAACTTGTATTCTGAGGTCTAGTAATAATAAAAATAATAATATCATGTCAACCGTCGCTATGCCAACTAGTGCTTATCAAACAGCTACTCCCGAAAACCCTCCACAAATCTTAACTCCATTATCTGGTGGCGGTGACGTACCTGAAGGAGAACCAGTGCATTTAGAATTACGAATTGCTCCTTCGGGTGACTTACAAGTACAATGGTTTAAAGATGGTGTTTCATTAAGCGCAGGTGAGTAATTACAATTAAATTATGCCATTATTAAAATTGAATATTCTTTTTAATATGATTCAGTATTCATAACTATACAACTAATAACTTATTTAATAACTAACTTTAAAAAAATGTGAATAAATAGTTGTCGAGATTAATTAACACTTGTGTAAATTACTAAAACCTGTCCTCAGAATACAAAATACCTATTTCGAATGTGAAATGAAACACACATCTGATCATAAAATAAAGTCATATGAAATATTAAGATGACTAAGTGGAAAATATCAGACTATAAAGGGCTAATTCTACGGGGAAGTGATGCACTTTAGATATATGAAACTAGAGGTTCAGTACATTATGAATAAAAATCCTAGATTTATCGACGTTGAATTTGTGCAGGCGTTAGTTTACGCAAGGGTGTGACATTTAGTAATCACTTTTTCTCATTAAGCTCAATAATATGATCTATTTAAGAACATGAACATCTGAACTCCGTGATCAAATACTGAAGCTTCTTGATTAATTCATGTTGTTGTCGATATTTTCAATTGAACATCACTTATGCAATGGGAGAAGTTGTGCCACACTTTGATTTATTATAAGGAATTACTCAGTTAGCTACTTACTTCACTGTTGACTCCTATCGTGCCAAATCACTGTTCTATGGAGTAAATATATAGCGCGACTTTAATTAATGGTTAAATTTTCATATAAATTTCTACATATTTCACTTTTTCTTTTCAAACTTGTCATTACTGCTTCATTAGTCAATTAAAAGTTGATAATTTAACTTACGTTATATGCAACTAACATTGTACTAAGTATTGACAAGGTTGAATGCTATGAATATTTGTGAAGTGATTGTCAAAATACAAATCACTAGGTTGATGAAAGGATTTTCACACATGTGACTTATGAGTTAATCTCTTTTCACAAGTGTAAATGGAATTTTACCTTTATCACAAACTGAAGATTTACATTTAAGGCATCATTCAAATGTGTATTTCATGGTGAAAAAGTGTCCATTACTCATTTCAGTTTAAGCACATTTAGTTCATATTTACATTGATACTATATACCAGATGATAAGTAATTTCATGAATAGAGAATACCATGTTCACTAGTTAATCAGATTTGCATTTCAACAAATCGGATCGATTAGGAAGTTCATCAAGTAATTAATATTTTTATAAATGTAACTTTTTTTGTTTACTTATATGACCATTATTGATCCATTGAACGATCAATTTTCAATTGTTTCACCATATTTTAATAGTTATTGTCTAATATTCGACGGTCAATTTCTAGGCATTCAATATCGATTATTTCAAAATTTGATAAATAAGTGTATTTTAAATCTGTTAATGAAGTAGCAATCGAGTATTGTAACTATTATTCAGTGATTAGTGATTCTAGTTAGTGGATTTCGGTGTATTGTCGCACATAAATGTGTTGTGGCTTATGCTTCAGCTAAGTCCTCGATCACTTTTAGTGTATTAAGATGCTCATCACCTCGGTCAATAGTTAACTGACTGACGATAGAATGTAGAACAATAATAAGTCTAGATAGTTAAATAGTCATTTATTGATACTGTTCAGTTATTTCAATATAAAATTATATTTTTCCCTTATTTTACTAAGGTTCTCGTTACAACACTATGTTTGAACGTGGTTTAGTGTCACTGGATGTTATCTATACAATCCCAGAGGACAGTGGTGCATATTTTTGTGTTATTTCAAATCCATATGGCCAGGCCCAGAGTGAAGCAGTGATTGTAAAGTGAGAATAACGATTGTTTTAGAGTTAATTTGAATTTTCACCAATATCCATTTATAATGAATTCTTTGCGTAACTGTATTTATATGGACTATGCAATGATAAGATAATCTCATTAAATTATGTGCATAGAGATTCTGAAGTAACTTTAAATTTTACTCATCTACCATATACTATTGGCTGTTTCAAGCATTTTCTGTGGTTTGTTATGTTAGTTTTCTTTTTAGTTGTTTAGCGTTTAAGTAGATCGTATAACTATGACTTATGTAAATTTACGGTTTAGTGAGTCCAAGAATAATTGGAGTGGTTCATTAATTGTCTTAAATAACTAATGTGTGCAGACATAATGCATTTCGATCAAGCGATCATTCCTTACTAGAGTTTGGCTTGTGTCTACCCACAAACATACAAGGAGAATTAGAAATAATGAAATAAATATTTAAACTACATTTTAGGTTTAATACTTTTTTAAAGTGTACGTTATTGTGTAATGTAAATAATTTTCTCTACGATCTGTGGTACTTATTAACAGTTTCGTTCTTCTATGACTCGCTCAAATGGTAATTTTAAGTTTCAATCAAATGCATTATTTACAACTTCAGTATCAATATCATTTCATCATTATAATGTGAAATTTTTATACTCTGTGACTGAAGTTAGTTGTAATGAGATTTAATTTTTGAAGAAAATAAAAACAACACTGAATTACAAAATTACGTAGACACTTTTAAACATTAGATTAGTTTGACCCTGAATCATTCCTACTTGACTAAAATTCTGAGATATATTTGTCTGTACTAAATAAAAGTTCAAGGTACTGAAGCTCATCTCTATTGAGAACATGAATTTTGCCCGCATGGAGCATTGTGGAGATTAACGAAGAAGTAAGTCTTCATCAGTCGATGTACTTTTGAGACATATATTACGTATGCCCAACCGCTCACTGTCTCGACGAGTGATTTTGTTTGATGTGGCGATAGACTGGAAGATAGCTAGGTGTGGCCAAACAAAAACATGGAGCAAATCTATGAAGTCACTGACAAATGGACTGAGCCATGGGTAGTAGATGTAGACTGCTTGACTGGGGCCCTCAACCGATGGCTAGAGACTCTGGGTGGTATGGCTCAAAATCGTTTTCAATGGCACAGATGCATCTGTTCTTCGTCCTATCTCTAATTTCAATCGTCTAGATTCCTCTTTATCATCTTTTTTCTCTTTTTAAATTTACTTGACTGGATGATACTTCCTTGAAGCCTTATCTTCTCCATTACCGCAAGTACTTCTACTACCTCTAGTTCTATGAAATATTAAATGACAATTACATGTTTGTGCTGATATGGTACGGGGAATTTGACCGATGTTCGTACGTACAAAGTTCTATGTTGTAGGTAACTGACTGACCTGTGGAGATTATAGAAGTTTCAGAGATTTTGAATCTAATCTCAGTTACACCACCATCGGAAATATGAAACAGTTATCCACCGCAGACAATGGCTGTAGAATATTGAGAATTGATTTCAGTGTGACACTAAATCCGTTGGTTGCCACCTAAGTGGTCTACACCTTAGGCTTCCTCCTGTGGACGAAGGTCCTGGGTTCAGTTGCCAGATATGGAGTGGTCTTGGGGGATCCCCATAGTAGGATGAAAAGGCCATTCACTACTTCCAGATATTCAACAGTAGTCTAACAAAGATTGGTACGTGATGATTTAAAATCTATGAAACTTTTATAATCTCCACAAAATCCTATACTGAATACTTGAATTGGAAACACAGAAATCTTTCATAAGTATTATATCCTCAAAAGACCATACAACTAAAATTCAAAGAATAATTTAATTTTACAGATGTTACTGTCCATCAGTAAAATTATTAAAAGAGAACAAAAGCTAACCAATGGAGGTTAGCCAAGCTCTCTGAGCAGAAATAATTCTGATACTGTTTGATGTACATACATATTCATAACTTTCCAACTACCATAAAAACATAGATTAATGAATTAGTTATCGCTGTCCGTTTTGTCTAATATAAATCGACTGATAGTTCAAGACATAATTGATTCGAAGTATATGCAATGTTTCTTCTGTTTAACAAATACAGAAATTACGTCTAAATATTCATCTAATTTCTAATCAATAAATTTATTACTGTAAAAATCTTGAAACAAACAGTAGACAAATTGTTTTAGCTTTTTTCTGTTCTGTTCATTGTTTAGCTTAGGAAGAAGTTAGATAAATAATGAAATAAAATAATGAAATGAATTTGTTTTCAGTTAACACATATGTACTAAACCCTGGATTTAGTTTGTGCATCTCTCAGCACTCATAAATAGCATATGTGCAATGTCGAAGTAAATTTTCTTTCATAAAAAAATCTAACTCGTATCAATGTGCTTCTCAGCAAAAGAAGTTACCGATTTTATATCCGACAATTTTTCAGTCCTGTCATAAAAGAGACGTATTATGATTAGTTGCTGTATATCAGTTGATGATGTATTCAGCTTGTAAGTACTCATTTTAGTCTGTTTATCAGTTGTAGCTTGATAATTTTGGCTGGAAATTTTGCAGTTGAATTATTCAACGAAGCTAGACAGATCTAAAATAAAACACTATCGTCCATAGGATTGCAAATAAGTCTTACTCACAAACGTCGACAAACATTAAATCTCGCTACAAATTTTTAAGTGTTCAATGTTCCACCACCATGGCTTATGAGTCAGTCAGTCAGTCAGCTGCAACGTAGAACTTGGTATGTACGTACATCAGTTCAGTTTGTCATATTACATTAGGACAGACAGATACAGTTATAAGTTCAAATGCCATTACAATACAGGTACTAGCAGTATTATCAGTAATCAAAGGGATTGTGGACTGATAGATTATGTGACTGATAAATTTAAATTTAAAGTCACCGGTAGTTCAGATGAAGAAAAAGAATGGTTGCATCTGCGCCAATGGGAATAATTTTGAGCCATGTCATTCAAAATCTCTAACCACTGATTACGATTGTCTCTCTCGATTGTCACTACGTCCACAGTTATGATTGACTTCATGGATTTGTTCCATGGATTTTGTTTGGCCGCCCCTGGTTTTATTCCGTCCTACAATATCAGACAACATCCTTCGTCGAGGCAGTCAGTGGTCGAGCATACATAGCACATGTCCCAACCACCTTAACTGATAAAGTCTCACTACTTCACTTGTTGCTCTGCCATCCTTACATAGTACTCGTTTACTAACAACAGCATTGCTTAACCGGTGGGCGGAGAATACACCAGCACTGCTTCGAAGACAACATAGTTAAAGTACTGTTTCGGTACAACTTTCAGTGGCAGACACTACCAAAGAACTTCACTATCAACAGATTCATACGCCGCCGCACGTTCAAGGAATACCGCTAATTTTGGAAGTCGGAAAGTGTGTCTATATCTTATAATGCAATTACGATATTATATAATTTAAAGTGTAACCTCGGATGAAAACTAGTAAATGGTACTGCTCATTATAGGATGACCAATTTGTAAAAGAAACATGTGATACACTAAGCTACTGTGATTGATTTTTGTATTTACATTTCACAAGAACACTGTGAAATACCATATGAATATTGATTAACATTCTTTTACTTAAAAAGACACATCTTTGTTTAGAGAAAATTTCTATTTTCGAAATCAATAGTGACAAATTATAATGAATCATCCGACACTCCAATTCAAAACCAATGACCTACAAACATATTGTCAGGTCAACAAAAGTTAAAACATGAAGTGTTTTAGTTTTATAGATTATTTGTCTGACGGACTTATTTTTCCTTAATTATTTTCACACACGTTAATAATGAACAAAGAGGAAGGAATGTAGTATGAAATGTTCGATATTTTTCGGTTTGAATTATATGTGGAGCTAAAAATACGCGGCAATTTTTTTTAATGAAGACACTAAAAGCGCCTTTTTCCAATAATTAACGAGTTCCTTAGAACTTCAGTATATCTAACATTTCAAATAGTGAATTAATATCGAAAATGTAACAATAAATTTATATTGATCATAATAGATGACGATTATTTTTAAATGTAATTTTTTGATATGATATTTTGTGAAGTAATCAGTTAGTGTATAAATATTTTTCTTAGCGTAATCCCTGAGATTGATCCGAGTCAAGATTACATGGATGCACAGTCTGCTGATCTTTATCAAGCAACTAGTGCACCGATAAAAGAATATGAACGTGATCAGCGAAGTCAACCAAAAAGTGCACCACAATTTACTCATCAACCGGTGATTAGTAGTAGTGATGTTCTTGAAGGCGAGCCAGTCAGAATAGAAGCATATTTGAATACAACATGTGATTCAACACTACAAGTTGATTGGATGCAAAATGGAAAACCAGTTGGTACAGGTACGTCTTTTTGTTAAGCACTGGACGGCCGTGTCGTTCCAGTATGGAACGCTTTAGCAGTGCTATCCAGTGCTTCCAAGATTCTAATAGTAATTTAACAATGATCGATTCATGATTTCGATTTAAAATAACAATAAACTATGTAATGAATGATAATACTAATAATATCTTTGTATCATGATATTTTATCACACTTAGATTTTATTAATTTGACAAAATAAGCTGAAGAACCTGAAAGGATTTTATTCAAAAGAATATTCTTTGTGCATAAATCTGTATTTAATATGAAGGGAATTTTTTAAAAATTTGCCAAATGTAATTTGTTATAAGTATTGTTACGCAATCATCACATAGAAACAACAGGTATACGTCTATATTATTGATCGATTATGAAATGCAGTGACCCACAAGTCTCAACTACTTCTGTTTTACATTCAGTCAGTACATATTTTTCAGTTTTTTGAGACCTTCGCATAATGCTAATATAGTAGAAAGATAAGTGCAATTGATTTAAACCACTTGAAATAGTTACTGTTGATCGATACACTTATAACTATAAAGTGGTTTCTAGACTGATTGCGAGTTTCTTGAAGAAAAATCACAAGATTAGGTTTGGAATTTAGTAATAATTGTGACTTTCACTGTAGGTACTTTGAAAATTTTTGATTCTTATATAACATCCAAAACCAATATAACATCAGTTATTAACATCGGAATGTAAACTATTATCCCTGAAACATACACATTAACTGGATGTAAATTCATCAGTTAGTTTTGCTCCACTAAGACAAATAATATTTGTAATGTGATCACACGAAATGTTAGTGAAAGCATGAAGTATTAATTGTCTGTTTTTGACCAGACCAATTCAACACTTTTATCATATCCCAGTTACTTTCATCATGTAACAATAATAATCGTGAATTAAAATTATCATCATTTTCAGTTACTTGTTTAGTAGAGTTGAATGAATAATAAGGCTGAATTCAAGTCTTCGTACGCAAATGTCATCTGATCATAGAATAGTCAGAACAGTGATGCATGTCTTTTAAATTTAAGTCAGTATTTAGTCACAACACCAAAGGATGTTCATAAGATTTTCTAAAGCAGTCCAATGATCAATAGACTAGTGTTTATTGACAATTTATTACACTTTATTTTAAGTATTTATTTCAGTGGTTCAATAAATGTGTAGCTCCATTGTGAAACTTTAGTGTATGAACCTAATGTACATATAATGTGGTGAATTGTGAGGGAAATGTGATCTACCATCGAGCGTGGACAAACAGACACAGCCTACTGACTATTTAAAATGTAATCTCGTTTCCTCTTGTTGGTTTCTACTTCAGACTTACTGAATGTAACTACTTACGATTGTGTGGAATAAAATACTGTATATTGTTTACTCTGATTTTTCATTTTAGTCGTGAATCGTGTATCTGGTTTAAAATGATCTAGTCTCAGTGTGGTGTGCCATTTGTGTATCCAAATCAGTAGTTATATACACTCAGTCACCCATTAGTCTCTCTATACAGTACATTGGATAAAAAGGCACCCGATACTTCTGTTATATCATTGTAATACTGACTGATTTTTATTTATTTATACAGGAAGCCGTTTCAACGCTGTTCTCGACAGAGGTTTAGTCGTTCTGGAAATCGGGTACTGCTTAGCTGAAGATAGTGGGTTGTATGTCTGTGTAGCTACAAATGCACTTGGCCGTACGGAGAGCCAACCTGTGGAATTGAGGTAATTAATCGATGCTAGAATGTTAATTTCTAATCTCTAACAAATTCCAACTTCTAAATTAATCTATTTCTATAGTTTTCATGAAGTTCAACCCTCTTACATCGGAATGTAACTGACTGATTTTCATCTAGTTTTGGAACGTCACAAAGCAATTTTGTTTGCTTTAGCAAGGAAGAAAATAAGTATTAAGCAAAATCGATAGTTTACGTCGTTAGACAATCAAACAAAAATTCTGGATTTAGACTTCACGTTGGATTAAAATTTCAAGAGTTTTCTCTTTTAAATAGGAGAACTTTCTTGCTTATTTTCGGGATAACGAAAATCATAATGGACACATCTCAGCTGTTTAGACAAGCTGACTAAAATTGTCTCTAGAAAAAACAAAGTGAGTCAGACCAGGTTTTGAAAGAATAAAACAACTGAATGAATCTACTGTGTTAACCAATAAACCTGTTTTATTACCTGATGTTCAGTTCCTTAGTAGCGACTGCGGACCATGTTTTATTTACTTAGACTTTGAATGCTCTGAAATCATGCGACTAAAAGCATGATTCACTAAATTTTATTTTCGTGAATAAATTGTATTATGCCATTTTTGTTATTTCACTCTGTTGCTTTTAAATTTAGATGTCAGCCAGAAGAACGAATTGTTACCAAATCAATTCTGGATCAACAATCTATAAATCATTTGAAACAATTAGAGGAACCTGGAGAGGATTATGATTAGTATGTCCTATTCATTCAATAATTTTTGCCGTTAAATTTGTATTTGTTCAGTGGTATCAAATAGAGGAAGTTATATCTTAACATAGAAAACGGTCCTTCTAATGATAAATGTTCAATGAAAATGAACCTTGATATATAATTGATTTTATCTATTGAAAACTAGTATTCTTTTAAGCATGAGGTACTTGAACATTAAGCAACCTTCATATACAAATTAATTATTCCAGTAGGTTTCATGTTTTGTGATAAGCATAATATTACTGAATATATAAACATAATGTAAGTTAAGGAAACTCGAATCATTTGCACAACGATCATTAAATGGCATCTCTGTGTATAGGACATTGCTTACAATAATGATAAAAACTATGGACTGTCAGGATGTATATTTTTGGTGCTCAGTATTTTCTAAAATGATATTATAAACTATCCTCTCTAACTTTATAGATATATTTTGGTTTGATGCGAATTCCGTTAAATGTATTCAAACATTTAAATTGGTATGTTCTGTAGTTAAGTCCATGATGTAATATTTTTCTCTCAGCTTACAAGAATAAGAAAGAACGACCTTCACAAAAATAAAATTTTTGTATATTTTAGCGTGATCAACTCAACTGTTCAGGGCGTACCCCCGTCTTTCAAATCGAGTTTAGAACCTTCTTCAGTCCAGGTGAATGAAGATGAACCCGTAGTGTTTTCTGTACCTGTCGATTGTGGAAACGGAGATCGTATGGTTATTGAGTGGAAACATGATGGCCAAGTTGTTAAAACAGGTAATTATTTGTGTTTGTGTAAGCTAAGTTTAAAATATTATTTACCGTAAATTGAAAATTACATCTCTTCCTTATTCAAAAACCGATTGTAGAGATAAGTTTTATGGAAAACATTGTGTGTGCATATAAGTCCATAATGACTAAACAGATAAACGGTTGATAATTTTCTAATCACACGGAGCTTTTTTAGAGAAAATGTTCAGTAAGTGGATATAAACAACAAGTTACAGCCATTGTAATTTTACATTAATAGCGATTCAGAAATTGAAAACCACAGGTAGAATTTTTTAAAATGATTAATTATAATTGTAAACTAATTTTTATTTTCCAACTACTTTATCAACCTCCGTAAAACTAGTATTGAACGTGTTCAAAAACATACAATTCAGACAGCAATCTAAAATATGTGCACAAAATTTCGAGAAAATTCTTGAGCGCGTAAGATTTCAACGAATTTACGAAGCAGATCAAGTATACATATTACTGATAAAAAAATTATTATCACCTAGTGTGCTAGATGATAGACACCTACATTTTAAATTGAGGCAGTATAAATCAATCAACTATAGGGCATCATTCTACATTAACAAACTAATGATTTCTAAGATCAACAACAATTGAAAATATATTTATCAGGCTTGTAAAACGCATTACATCTCTATGAAGTAGAGAATGAAATTTCCTAAAGCATACAAAACTCGATATTACTGCCATTATATACGATAGACATTTAGTACCACTGTCTAAATTCATTTATTAAATCTTTCAATCTGATGAAAATTAGTAAAATTATGAATAAAAATGTCACATTGACTGTTAAACGTAATAACTAAATCTAATTTAATTGTCCCTTTTGTTAACTAGATAAATCAGAAAGATAACTAGCAGTGTTTAGTACAGTTGTGTAACAAATTAACTCATAATTTTTCTGTTATTTATGCTATTTATTCACTGGTCTAATATAAGCATGAATTGCTACCAATTACTTTTAGGACAGTCTCAATGTCTTTTATGCTTATACTGGTGATGTAGTGTAGCTCAAAACTTACTATTTCTAGTTGGAAACTTACAGAGAACAATATAATACAATACAAAAAATACTGACTCTTATTATCTATACAGAGTGAACAATCGATATTATTCAGTGGACTCAACATATATTCACTTGTTTAATGAATTCATGACTCTAAAAATTGTGCATAATCTTAAGTGCTAATATCTGAATTGCATTTTTATTCTCAACAATTTGTAGTTATGGCTAGTTTGATTAGTGTCAAAAGAGCATTAAAATAAAGGGAATCTAAAGTAATGCAGAGTTTTTATGGAAGAGATTATTACTTTCAATCTAAGTAGTTTATATGGTTTTGGAAATAATCATATTTCGACGCATTCTTATTTAGTTTAAAACTGAAGAATTGGATATGCCAAGTAGAATAATCTGATTTCTAATCTGATTTCTTTCGTTAAATAAGGTTCTCGAATCACAGGAAGTTTAGAACTTGGGATAGCCAGTTTGAAAATTCATTATGCTCAACCGAGTGATACAGGCGTATACACTTGTCATGTCTCGACAGAACATGGATCAGCTGACTGTGGTCCTTCCAACTTGTTATGTGAAGCTACTGGAAGTATAATTGCTGCAAGTCAACTTCCAGGTGATAAGGAAAAAGGTAAGAAATATACTGAGACTATCTAGTGTGGTAGTAATATGAATGAGATGTTCAAGAATTAATCCAGAGTTTTATCTATGTTTTTAAGGTCTTCTGGCTATTGAAGCCATAGAAGCAAACCTACATGCACCGCGTGGTACTGTATGGGAAGATGATAGTCCACACGAGGCACCTGTTATTATTCAACAACCACAATTCGTTGGTGAAATTGAGGAAGGGACAGCTATTCATTTCGATGTTCAGGTAGAGCCGGCTTCTGATCCTTCACTCATTGTTGAATGGTTAGTTTGTTTTCTTAAAACATCGCTTCGGTTCATTTGTTTCTATTACATTGAATTCAAATAAACGTAAGAAACTCAAAGATAATTTATCCATATTGAACTACATATCTAGTTATTTCACAAATCTCAGGAAGAGTACAGAAACATAAATTCATAATGTTGATTGCTTATGTGGCTAGACTATTCAAAGTTGAAAAGATCTCGTTGATCAATTTAAGCTATTAATTAAAATTCGAAAACAAATTGATATGTTCTTCAGCATTTTTTAAAAAAAAATAGCAGACTCTGTGATTTAGCTTACATTAAAAAGAAAAAGTGCATGGTCAAACCATGTTGTTTGTTATTTGTTAAGAAATTAATTTACTGACTTAGTGAACTTTCAAGGTAAACTGAATAGTTTATAAACATCCAGAGTAAAAGTTTACCTCCGATCTTACCTAATAATCATTTGACTTAGTTCATCATATTTTGGTGATTCTCAGTGAGCTAAAGTCAAATCAAAACAAAAAAGGTTTTGAATAATTCCACCTAATGATTTTTTTAAAAAGTATTTGATATTTGTACATGAACTGCATTTTTGACGAATCAAATAAAAACTATTAGTTGAATTTTATTTAGTCTCTAAACTGTAATATATTCTGTGTTTAACTATGTATAAACTAAGAAACAATTATCTATAAATCATTTTAGGTTTAAAAGTGGCAATTTATTAACAAGTGGGACAAGATTTAAAGTTGCTTATGAAAGAGGATTGGCTACTCTAGATCTTTTGTATACTGTTCCTGAAGATAGCGGTGAATATTGGTGTTGTGTAGCGAATAAATCTGGTCATGTGGAAAGCAATCATATAGAAGTCTTGTAAGTTTTTCATCAATTTATTAGCATTAGATCACATTCACATTTTTATGGTTCTGTCAAACTTGCGTAAATGTGTATTTAACATGCGGTTATCCTTTAGTTTGATTGACTGTTCCTTTTGAAGGTTGTCTTTTCTTCGAAAAACTAATTGGTGTTTTTGACGTACTGATCACATTTTAATAGTTGATTTGTGTATCCTAAATCTTCTAACTGCACTTGCCATATCACTGACTGACTTAAATACTTCAATAATTCTAGATACACAATTACTATCACAAGTAGATGAAATCGTCTAACGAAGTTACTTCATCCACAGAACCTTGCATAAATGACAAAATAATATTTAAACGCATATGATGTGGCGATGAATGAAATTAATACCACAAAAGTATACGATAACCAGACCAAAACAGAGCAAGCCTATAAAATTACTAATATCGTCTTAAGAACGCTTGAAGCCGCTCAAATTTATGTTGACTGCTCTTATATATTGATTAAAACATCGTTGATATTTCTCATTAATTTACTTTTATTTTTTGTTAGCAGTTCCTATTTTCTATACAAATTATTAATAAAATCCTTTGTACACATTTGAAATCATCAGTCAATCATTGTTAGACAACCATTATATACCTGGAAGCACTGGACGACCGTTTCGTCCTGGTACGGGACTAATCAGCAGTGCGCACCCACGACTCCTGTACCTCGCAGGATTCGAACCCGGGACCTTCGGTATTGTGCGCGAACGCCTAACCATTGGACCACTGGCCGGCATCCAACGGTGTTAATGTCTAACTCTGATTGATCTAGGGATTTTGCGCGACCTCACCCATTTGTCTTTGGTAGTTACTGCCTACACCCGACAGGGATGAACTCCGTTGGTCACGTCTTCTCAACTAGAACTCCGAGAATTTCCTCACGAAGCTAGTCACTCTGCCCGAAAAAAATCCTTCGTGTCTATTGAAATAAAATTTGTTGGTGTTCAAAAATTTGGACACATCATAATCTATATCACTGTAAACTTCAAATAACTTGTCCACTACAATATTTGTGCATTACGTCACTGGATTTCATACGTTTTACCAAACAGAAACTATAATTTTAACATTGTATTTATAAGCTGGCGAATCTCTCTCCAACATTATTCACCACATGGATAATGTTGTGTTGTGGCATTTTGTTTAAATTTCCCTGTTTTGTTTAAAACATATTCTTGATAATGCTTAAACGATATTTTACATTAGGGATAAAATACAACAGTCAATTTTCCTCTCTCTCTCCTTTAAATTATCCAAAATATCAATATGAATTTCGAACATTTACACAGTAATGTAAACACGCATACCTTTGTAAGTACATACACCTACACTTTCCTATTATACAATTACAAAATGGATAATTGGTGAAATTTGAACAATAGAATAGTAGATATCTTGCATCGAATCGAAAGGCATTTACAAAATTTATGTTCAATTATTTTAACATATATTCATTGGAAAATAGAAAAAAAAATGCCAGTAAAATCATTCAAATTCTAAACGATTAAAGATGCATTTATTCTGTATCTCTTGGTATCGAACGTTTGTTAAATCTAGATTTTTGAAATTAAGAAAATTGAAACATGTGCTGTTTATTGTAAAATATGGGGTGTACTTTGTTTTAGTTTCATACATTAAGTAAAACTAATATATTTTAAATGAAATCATACTTTTTTCTTATAATACTATTTTAAACTAATCAACAAGAGGTAATCACACAATTATGGAGTTTTCAAAAAGCGAGCCTTATTTCTTACATATATATATATATATATAATTCGGTTGAAAAATACATAACATTAGTTACAGTTGAAAATGCTAAAGAAAGCTATTATTTCAAGATTAGTTAAGACAATGTGTACTATATTCTTTTTACTTCAAGCAAAATCTTAGTGTTTTGTTTGACAAACCTCTGGGCTCATGATTTACAAATACGTTACGCTTTTTGACTCAGGCACTTTTTGATGGACTAAGTGTAAAATACTGTGCTTTTTCTTATTCTCTATATTTTAATTGAATATATGAAATTCAGATGAAAGAATAGTTTATCATGAACTTATTATGAAAGTGTTCAATTCTTCGTGCATTATGAATACGTTTTTGTGAAATTTCAAAGTGTAAGAGGGTAAAAACCTGTGAAGAGTGTCTGTTAACTTTATGAAACTAGATTAGATATTGTAACAAATAACGATATGAAGTTGTGTAACTTTTTTACATTGAATGTAAACAAAATAACAGATGTAAAACTAGTAATCTTAAATTAGATAATACAATGGAAATATCGTATCTAAATATTGGCTTTAAAGAGATTCACTTTCGGCTATTAACAAAAATAATACTGTTATGCTTGATTTTAGGTGAAAAAGAAACGAAAATTATACTACTACTCTGTTGGGTTAAACAATAAATCAGTATTTGTTAATGTAAAATTAAGGTTGAGTAAATAATATACAGCAAGTGAATAATGAGAATAGTAATTATGTTGTTGGCCAAAATATGTTTTCACCATAATGATAGTCGGTTTACAGTTAAAAACAAAAGAGAATTTAAATGATTATTAGATCATGAATCCATGTTTATTTTCCGTAATTATACGCTTAGAAACTACACAGTTATTTGTGCCTTAAAATTAGGAAGACCACTGAAACGTATAATGATAAGTGGAATTTATTTTTTAGAAAATATAAATATTTTATGCTGATTGAAGTAGATCTGAATATGACAGCTTTGAAGGCTTAGACAACAAATAAAACAGACCGATTTTTCTGTACTCTTTAGGCAAGGCATTAGTTGATTTTATACTGCTCAAAAAGTGATATTCCATGAAGACTACCTCTTCAGTACATTTCAACTACTCATAAGTAGTAGTAGTGCTGAAAATTATATGATGTATTTCTCACATTGTACTTCTTCACATGATCCAGACTTATGAATACAATAAATGCAAATGGTTCATGAATTCTAGATGACTGGAATTTTCATCTGTTTTCTTTTTCAGATGTCATGCTAGTGCATCTGTAATTACACACAGCAATCTTCTACAAGGTTCAGAAGGTTACAATTTAATCAAGGCTATTGAAGAAGTTGAACAACCGTAAGAACATGATAAAGTTTGATTTTTCCATGTGATTTTTCTTCTTTACTGATAAAGTTTAACTATTTATATTTTATATGTTATTAAATATGGTGGAATATTCAATAAATTTTTAAATAATTCTTTACAGAGACGGTGATGCATACAGGTATATAGAAGACGAAGAAGTGGATTCAGCTCCAAACTTTGATGTAAAGCCTCAACCTGCTACAATAGGTGAAGGTTCTCCAGTGAAATTTTTAGTACGTGTCAGTGGTAAACCAACACCACAGTTGACTTGGTATTTAAATGATGAACCAATTGAACAAGTACGTTTCACGAATTGATAATTTATTAGAAGTGCCACCCTTATTTTATGCAAATCAGTTCCAATCAAATGTAAAATTCCAATAGTTAAGGTTTTCTAAAATGACTGATAACGATACGCAGGAATACGAAACTGGTTTCTAGGGCTTGGATGATTTCGGGCTGCTAACTAACATTCATATAAAAACCAATGCTCACGTTTCGTTGTTCTGAAATCGAATAGGATCTTTAAGTAACTAAAAATATGAGTTCTAACAATATTAAAGCAGTTTAAATTACAGGAGACAGTCAAATCCTAAAGTGGTGGACACGTCTACTTATCTATGACAACAACTACTATTTTGTTTATTATATCTTTGGACAATGTTTGATAAATTTATGCGCAGACATGTATCATACCATGTTGAAACAACCCTCCTACCTGAATAGAGGGCATCAGAATAATACATTTTGTAAGATAATTCAAGATTTGGTAAAAGACGAGAAAGTAATCATAAGGTAAAAAAGTGAAACTTGTGCGTTAAGATATTACATATCTATAGGAAGTTGATATTATAGGCAGTTTCAGCTCTAGGAACAATACAACCAGGATGCCTAAAACTCTGAGAACTTGCTTCCACATAACCTGGAAAGTATGAAAACTACCAAATAAATATCTTAATTACATATTTAATCAAAATTCGTAATCGCTTCTTTCAGGATTCAATTACAAAAATTTATAGTGATGGTGCAATAAACTACTTAGAAATGAATCGTTGTCCAGCTTTACAAGGAACTAACAAATTACATGTGATTGCACAAAATGAACTAGGGAAAGCTGAAGCTGAAACAATTCTTACAGTTGTATTAGCAGAAGATTTCAGACCGGATTTAAAACATGTTAAACCAGGTAACCAGAAAGTTATTTCTAATGAACTAGTAATTTTTTATGTATATTTGTAATTCAGGCATATCAGCAGTATGCATACGTTTAAAAATTACGAAATATCATGAAATTTCATATTCATAGTGAATATGGAAAATGAAATCACATAAAGTGGTTTACACTAGTGACCATGATTGCTGAATGATAATACTACAGTTTTATTTCAGTAGTCGTATTCATACTTAAATATGACCAGTGTGTAACGCCTACCTACAAATGTAGAGCACAAAATTAGTGATAATGAGTTGGTACTTTTGAAACAGCCTTGCTATCATCCATTTTAATGAGTAAAATAAGCCTTAGTTAGAACTAGCTTGGAAAGATTTAGTATTATATCAGTAGAACAGGTTCATTTGATAAAAACATAAGTATAACAAATGAGATTATTTTATATAACTTCAAAGAACTGTAGAAATATAAAAGTAAAACAAATAATTTTAATCCATGCTGACAGTCAACTGAATGAGTAATGCATCTGTTTGTTTCATATTTCCATGTGTTACTTGAAATGAAGGTACATTTGTTTGCACATGATTTCAAGTATCCTTGGTCATGGAATGTCTTAGCATTCCAATATACATAGTGGTGATTAATAGCAGTTATTTTAAAAATTAGTAGAATATTTTCAGCTAGTGTATTTTATCCATAAATTTAATTACACATTTTATTCGGCATCTGAAAATATCATATATATAAAGTACATTCGTAATAATTAAATAATCATTTAAATTTTAAAATAAGTAAGATGTGTGGCTAATAAAAGTTATCATGTGTTTAAATCATTCCACCTAGAATTTAACTATCTTATGGTAATATAACATCTTAATATCTGGTGAGATCAAAATGATACACGAACTACAATAGATTAGCGTTAAAAGATGTAGTTTATTAGTAGGAATCAACAAACTAAAAAATTGTTCTTACCTAAATAAGTTCCATTTTCAGTATGACCCGTAGAACATGATAAGGGAATTTCGTTTGAAACATAAAATGTATTTTAGCGTGACTGTGATTCTGAACATACTTATATGCTTACCAATACAACTGAGCTGATCTGAAAGACGAAGGAAATTACCAGTTAAACTGATTTCATGACTGTAAATCTACTTTCTCTTGATTATTACTCAGTAGTTTATGAAGCTCTGTGATTTTGCATAATCACAATAGTGATAGGTATCTTCCCCTATAAAATTTATTGCACGGATAAGAAGTTGTTAACTTTTATAGTTATTGCCTCCGTCTAAATACGATTAGTGCTCAGTGGACTGATGACTACTCAATCCGCTATAATCACACACTGATTAGTAAATTTTGATAGAACAGTGAGAAGACGTAATTGATCTGAAAAATGTGATGTATTTGCGCTATACATTTCGAACAATCTGGTCACACATATTTACTTGTCAAGGCATTTTATATGAAGATGAATAAAAGGTCAATTAAATAAAAGTTCAAATAGACATAGGGTGATAATTGTAAATAAAGGAGAGAGAAAATTAACGTAATATGAAAAGAATAAGAAGGGGTAGGAAAATTGTCACATTACCCTAGGCTTAAAGATTACCAAGGTAAATTCAAGGTTATGACAAATTGTTTCTGCACACATAAGGGGGGTTTTAATTTTCTAATAGCCAAGGCCTCCATAAACCTCAAAATTCGTCCTTCAACATTCCTATACAATGTTTTGAAGGCTGTCTTGATGTCAATCTTATGCCCTGTCTCAATTGTGTTTGGCGATCGATGAACATGGTTTTCTATTTCCAACGCTAATCGGCTCATCTGACGTTAACTGATTTTGAAGCCACTTAGGTACATGTTCCACAACCCTTGATTGCAAAGTCCGATTACTCCTCCCTATGTATGTGTGTCCACACAAACATGTAAATTGATAAATACAATGGGATGTGATGTAATCATTTGAGCAACGTTTAGGTATATGCGAAATCATGGACTTGGTCTTTTCAATGATAATCAGTTTAGCAGCGTTGTATGTTTTCTCTATGGCTGCTTTTAGTCTCTGTCTTATTATTAGACCATTTGCTTCACCTCTAAATGGTAAAGTGATATAAACCTTTTTCTTCTCAGCAGAATGAAAAACTTGCTTTTGTCTTAACTGATCTCTACACCTATTGATGAACTTTAGCGGATAGCCATTCGAAATCAATGCTTCAGTTAAGAATTCTGCATCGTCGTCAAATGTATCCGTGGTGCAAATCCTCTGAGCCCTATTAAAGAGGCATTTTACTAAACCTCGCTTGTGTTGCAGTGGACAAAAACTGTTGAAATTTAGGTACTGTCCAGTCCACGTCGGCTTTCTATAAACAGATCGCTTTATAGTTCCATTATCTCTTCGGCTCAACAATATGTCTAAGAAAGGCAACCGATTATTATTTTCTGGTTCATGAGTTAACACAATATCATTCTGAAGACTATTGAAGTTTTCCAGTAACTGGGAGACGTTAAGTTCTTTATCACATATAATTAAGATATCGTCCATATATCTCCTATAGAGAGTAAGATTATTAATGTGCTCATTCCACAAATTTTCAGCATATGCCATGTAAACATCGGCTAACAGAGGTCCCAAAGGACTACCCATAGCGCAGCTGCATCAACTTGCTGGAAATGTTCATCATCAAACATGAAATGAACTTTCTCAGTACATAATAAAAAAATAATTCTCTTAGTAGACTTGACTGAATGGGAAAAAGGGGTGAAATTACTTAATATGTATAGTCACAAAGAAAGTTAACATATTTTCATTAGGGGAACATTGGTAAAAAGAGAGTTTACATCAAAAGAATGCATAGTCTTTTCTTTAATATTAATGTCATCAAGAACACCTATCAGTTCAAATGTATCTTTCAGGGAAAACTTACACAATTTATTACGAATTGGGCTAAGTAATATACTGATTAGTAAGTTGAATCAGATGTTGCTTGAAATGTATCCTTATTGTCTAGTAAAACATACTTGGATACAACTACTTACATAGTCATTTGTTTGATTATTACTTATTCCTGATGAACATTTTCACAGTTCATAAGCTATAAATAGTTTTAATTCTTTAATTTCATTTTCGATTAAAAACTTTCAGAAAATCCATACAAAAAGATGGTTGGATTGCGTAAAGTGGATTGTTCTCCAGAACTGAATAAAGCTTTGACAAGAACTAAACCATCTGCACAAACAATTATGGAAATGGAAAGAGGTGAGAGCTGTAAACGTTAGATTAAACCTTTTTTGTTGTATTCTAAGTTTAACTATTTGAGTTTCAGTGAAAAACTTTGTCCGTTTCACTACATTGACAAAACCATCGAGATCAGTAATAGATAGCTTGCTTTATACAATGCTCATTTAATAATCGTTGAAAATCTGTGTAATTTCCTATTCCATGTTAATTTTCATGGACTTGCAAATATTACGCTGATCGAAACTACCTTGTACTTGTAAAACAGGGATAGGATTCCAACATGAACTTGATTATGTGATGTAAACCTAATAATTTTAAAGATTCCCATTGTGAAAATTAGAACAACACATATAAGCGAACAATATTGTTTTCGATTAGATCGTCATCAGGCTTTACTCTAATATACATGAATATTTATATGAAAATGTTAAACCAATCAAGGCAATTTGAGTGGTAATCACAATGAAATGAAAAAGATTACGTAACTACATCTAATAGGCAAAAGTTCAAGTGGATAATTAATTACTCTTCTTAATCTGTCCTGCAGAGTATCGTAGGCCACAACTCCGTTGAATTGTAGCTTCATAAACAAAGGCTTCTTTCGGACGGTCGAAACCACCGACTTCTTTTTTACGGCAAACCTAATAGATTGAAAAGCAACGAATTCTTAGCTGCAAGAACACATGTTGATTATTCACAATTATATATATATATATATATATATATATATATATATATATGAAAATATCTACTATTTCGTTTTCTTTGTAGGCTCAGAAATGAAAGCACGCATGTATCGTTCACCGGAAGTAGTTGAAGCGGAAAAAATGTTGGATCAACTTGCTTCAAGTTTGAGAAAATCTGAAGTCAAACGAGTTAGTTTTGTTTGATAGATAATGTTGTGATAAGTAATCGCTTTTTCCGAACAGCGTTCATTAATACTATTAGGCGTACGGTTGACTTAAGAAATGACTGTCGTTAATTTTTGATTAATCGCTCTTTCTTCAGTTAATTTCGATATGACGATACCTATTGCTTAAAGAAACCTCATCTCACAAATATAACATAAAATAAAAAGATGATACAACATTCTTTATCCTTAAGTATCTATGATTATTATTACTAACACTTTAGAAATCTGTAACAGATTTGTAAATGTATACAAAACGACGACTTTCATTTATAGTTGTTGTAAAATGTAATCAAAGTTTGGACACTTGTAGCAATATTTTCAACCTAATCGAAAAGGCGATTGTCAATAAACTGACATCTTATAAAACGATAGAGTATTACAAACGGGACTAAAGTGTTACTGGGCTAAATCACTATGTGAAATACGTGAAATATTTTGATCGTTAAATTAGTTAATTTTTCTGTTCATTAATGGATTAACTAAATATTCAACTGCTTCATATGTATATATATAAAATGCTCGAATCCAGATTTACGTGAATTAACGTAAAAAGCTGAATGAATATCAAAAATTGAGAACTGTGAGAAAATCAACGCGTTAATTGGATAATTTGTGATTTTCGATAAAAATAAATCATTCATCACCTACCATTTCACATATTTTTGCACAGTCTAAATCTAGTTGTTCGTAAGGATGCTTTATATGAGTTTATGAAAAAAATTATTTAACAAAATAATTGTTATTACGATATGTAATGAACCATTTAAAGGAAAGATAAAGGTATTCATTGTAACAGTTATTTATTTACACATTTGAAGTAGTTTTCTATTATAACGTTTTTTCTGATCCAAATCACAACAACCATATACGAACAGCTAGTGCAAGAGACATTAAGTTGTTGGTCAAACAAACGAGCTCTATCTTCTACGTTTGAATTACAGAGAAAAAAACTTTTGATTTTCATTGATAAGTCATATAAATAAATGCTGACTATATTATTTACTTATGAAATGAAAATTAACATGAAACCCAATACGTTTGTTAGACCACCATTAGAAAACTTTAGGCACTGGACGGCCGTTTCGTCCTGGTATGGAACTCATAAGCAGTGCGCATCCACGACTCCTGCACCTCGCAGGGCTCGAACCCGGGACCCTCGGTATTGTGCGCGAACGCCTAACCATCAGACCACTGGCCGGCATCCAACGGTGTAAATGTCTAACTTCCAGTGCTTACAGGTTTATAATGGTGGTCTAACAATGACTGATTGATGATTTCAAATGTGTCAGAACACAAACCTCCAAAGCTCTGCCCGAAAACGCGTTTATTATTTAGACATTTCTTCTCCATTTAGTCGGAGTTTTACATTTTTTAAAAATATTATTGTCTCATTATTTTTAGCCTTTAGTAAATGGTAGCCACCAGAACGATGAAGCTTAATTCTGACACGAAATTACCAAACACAAACTCGTTTGGATAGCATTGGAATACATTGACAATCATATTTAAAGTTAATATCAATTAAATTATTCTATTTAACAAATGTTCATTTACTACATCAAATAAATTTATGAATAATCAAAAATTTTTGGCAAATCTTGGTGCATTTCACAAAACAAAATTGAAAGATAAGCATCAATTAAAACATTCTACACAAACAATCGATGTTATCATCATGTATTTATATTATTTACGTTAAGCTTATCTAATGTTCAATCTTTCTTCTTCAACACTGACTTTCAGTAGCGTTGTCTTTTCGTCATATTTAATTCGAAACATTTATTTAAGTCATTTTATTGTGCTCACAAGCAAATATTGACATTTAACATTGAATAATACAATTTTTCAACTATTAATTAACTGGTTGGTTTATTGTTTGTGCTAAATGTTACAACCATAGCTTTATTATTCATTCTTATAATTATCTAGTGAAGTAATTTCAGCCAATCACATTCATATCAAAACACAAGCATTTATTTCGAATAATAAGAAATTTATTTAATAATAGTGCTAATAATCTTTTAAACAGTTAAAAGTTGAATAGATTAATAGCATTATAATGCAATGATTTATGTCCACATTTAATTGAAACTAATTGTGAATAACCCAAAAAACAAGTTTATGCGTGAATTTTGACAATAACAATTAATAGTAATGAAAATTTAATCTTCATATGACATGCATATTTAAAATGTTCAATTTCTTGTTAGAATGTTAATTATTTAACAGTTTTTCTTTGATTTTGCTTTGGTTCATGGAAAGAAAAAAGATGAAATGTATTATCATCAATATAACATTTACTTTTTTACTAAACGCATGTCACTTGTTAAACTAATCACAAATAGTTTATTAATAATGATAAAACATTTACTTGAAGACATTCGTTCTACGTCTAGCATTATAGAAACTCTTCTCGGCATGTTTTAGAGTATTAAAAGTATTCACATAGTGAGAATATTATGAAAACGATATAAGTGTAGTAAGATGTTGGGACTTTGTAGTCGAATGTAATGTGATGTATTCAAAGAACTAATCCGGTATATTTATCCTTAACATTAGACGCATGTCTCAAATATAATAACCTAATATTTACTTGAGTAAGGAGCTTCACTAACGTTGTTGTTAAGTCTTATAGTTGGGTGCTAAACGCTTAATTTAATAAATTTTTCTATACTTCTAAACGAACATGTAGTCAGGATTTTTTAAACACAAATATATATTCAGTGCCAAAAGTTTTTATTTCCTGAGACGAAATTATCAACATGATACCTGGTTTGGATTAAATTACGGAAATTCAAATCTAAAACGATGAACTGATGATATCCTTAGATGTAACCGATTCATTTACCTCAGTCAAACCAAGCTTAACTAAAGAAACTCCATCACTGCTCCTCACCGACAACACGAATCTCCCAAAGTACATGAAACTTCAAAGGTAAAGTCTACTAGAACCCATTGATTTATGTTTAACAAAGTATTTGTAATTCTACAGCAAAATCTACGAGCAAAGGAAAGGAATACTAATGAGATCACTAAAACTAAACAATCTACAAAATAAACTGTTCATACTGTGAAAAACATTACATCGGACAAAGTGGATGTCTAATTCTGCCTCAAAAATATCAAACGCCATGAAATTTCTTAACTTATATTAATACATGCCGACAATCGTGGACATACATTCGATTGGAAAAATGTTTAAATACTGGGTAGAGAGAAAACATAGAATACTAGGTAAACAATCAAGTCAGTCAGCATTCAGCAGGCATATTGACGTCGATCTAATTTATCTACCAATCAGAAAAATCATGGACAAATATAGGATCAAGAATCGGATCAAATCGGGATACAGCCAAAATGCAAAGGCAGACGAAGAAAAATTAAAAGTCAGTAACAACCAGTCAAGATAGAGGTTAAGAGAACAAGCTTCGAGTCATACGTGGAGAAATCCGAACACTTCACTTCTAGCTCAGAAGAAGCGTTTAAAAACGCTAACCATAATCATCCACCTGAGCCACAAACTTTTTTCCACCATCTCAAGTGAGTTTTGATTATGTTAGTTAGAACTTTTACTTCTCATCTACAAACATCCACTGCACTTCAGAGTAAACAGGCTGATCCTCACGTAAAACCCATCAAACTGCAACATTCAAACATTTGTTGCCTGAGGGTAACTCTAAAGACTTGTCAAATACTCTATCATAGAAAGGAATATCCCCTGCACCGACATTAGTTTTTGATTAACTTAAAGTCATTATGTCAAAAATAGCGCATAAATTTAACAGCACGCATAATTCTCTACTTGTCAAACATATTTATCAAAAGCTGATGATTTGATATACATTCAGTGGATTATAGCTGATTACATGAGTAGTAACTGATATTACTATCATATGTTTTTTCACAGTGCGCGTTATCCACGCATTACAGTATTTCTTGTAAGTCTATTGAACAACACCAAATGAGTTGTTACCGGAACAAAAGTCTCCAGCAGAAATTCTGGTGGAAATTGTAATCTCAAAGTCAACTGATCGGTCCATGAAATAAATCCAAAATAAAGATATTTATCAAGCGATTTCTGGGGATCTAACATCCCCAACAATTAGAATCCAAAAGACAAATTATATTGAGCAATAGATCTCATGTCTCATTGTTTAGATAAAATTTCTCTGAAATCATATTAGTTGGGTACATCAGCGAAATCGACAAACTACGGAGATTACAGTACCTTACTTTGAATACAGTCTTTCGTATTTTTTAAACGCTTAGTAAATTTTAATACATCTACACTGTTCTTTGTTTTCTCAGATTGAAAATCAGTAATCTGTATGCATAAATAGTATAAGGTGAGGAAGAAACGTTATACTGATAGGTTTGTTTGCATTTCCATTGCACAAGATGCTTTCAGCTCTTAGTCACCTTTGTTTTCAATAAAAAAAATACTATAGATAATTATTTAGAACTCTGAACTCTGTTGATCAAATTTAGTTAAAATATTTTCAATCATTTACAAGATGCGATTCATACTTTTGAACAGGTCAACGTTTTACGAAACAATTGAATAAGACATTTAATCTGATAACAGTCAACATTAATGTTTGGATATGATCATTTATGATACATTTGTGAGAAAATATTTCAACAAAACAATTTGAAAAAAAATTAACATCTACAAAATTAAAATGTTATCTAATTTATTTACTTAAATGTTACGTAATACAATGTATTAGACAAAAAAATTAAGCAATTAAACAGGGAAATTAATTATTCAACTGAACAAAATACACATATACTCTCTAAGTAAATATAAATGAATCTATGTCTATCAAGATGTTAGACTGAAATAAGTTTCACCCATCCCCCAAATATTTTCGATACGACACATAAGAAGATTTGATTGATTTAACATGGAAGAATATGGGTCAGTTCTTAAAAGGTGACAGTTCTTCTTCTTATAATCGCATGTAAACCATTTAACGTTTCCTGTCGGTTCACCTTTTGTAATTATTGGACAAGTAAGTGTTTGTTCGGAAATAGATTTAGAAGAATTAGCATTTCCGTTTTGAAGTACTGGTGCATAACCTACGGATATATTGAATTTATATAGTTCGAAAAAATTGTTATCATAATGAATACCACAGGTCCAGATTCCTGTGTGAATTTTAGGATTTGCATGTTCAATTATTAAATATTCAGAAGTTGCCTGAGAAATTTGTTCACTAAAACGAAAGTATACAACAAATTTGTTAATTGGAAATACAAATCATTTGAATAGAATTTAAATAGTATAAGAATAAATATTTGCAATTCTAGTAAATTTATCGCTTATATTTAAACGGAATTATGGATGGTCATGATGCAAAATATTCACTTTAAATAGAAAATAAGGAGTGAGTAATTTGTTTAATTTTGAGGAGTGGTTCTCATAGATCTAGTTGTAAGCCGTGAGCATTGGAGTTCAACTATGGAGATTGTGTGGTGGTCAACCAAAGATGACGTCCGAACGTACTTGCCTATTATCAAGGCTTGAATGAAATTAAACAAGTGAACCATTGTCTTAGTAGTTTGAATATTAAGCTGTCGAGGTAGGACCTGAAGTTCCTGGGTTTTATGCGAATTCGGTCATGGGTTTGGACTAATGAGGAGTCCCATCCTAAGACGAAATATCGTTCTAAGACTTCCTGGTTTTCAACAGTTGTCTTTTTAACATCAGTCTGTGATGTAATCTATGATGTTAAACAATCTTCGTACACCGCTCACAGTAAAGCTAACAAAATCTATTGAACGCGAAGTAAATATATGAATTTTTCTATAAGCTAATGTCATATTTTAATAACACTTACTTATTTCTCTTCCATATAGTGTCAACTAAATACTGATTATGAGGACAATTAAGAAATACCAATCCATCCTTTGGTACCATAATCGTATTATGTAATGATACCGTATTTTGAGAACTAACGGTATTTATTTTATTACGTTGTGCAGAAACCACATTTAAAATAATAATGGCCTTCGTGTATTCCATAGATTCTAACTCAAAGGCTTCGCAAATCCATCCTCCTGTATGCGAATGAACGTTAGTATTTTGTAGAAATAAATTTGATACCCAAAGATTCTCATTCATAAATTGATGATCAACTGTCACTGGATACCTGAAAATTTAACGGGAATATTATAAATTAACTCGAGTGGGGAAAAAGCACTTTTCCCACGTTTGAGCCAGAAAATTCAGCATTTGTAAAATATTGAAATAATCTACTCGTGTGACATAATAGTATAACTAAATTAAAATAAATATGATGGCTAGTTAACCTGTTGCTTATGAAAGTATATGGAATGCCTTATTAGTTTGAAATCTAGTTTGTCTACTCCAACATTATTCACCTGAATTTGAATGCTAAATACAACGGTCTTCAATATAGCACAATACATTCGATAATTGATTTGTAGTCATATATTTTTTCTCATCCGTTGGTGATTTTAAAATCAGAATATCTATATGGACTGTCTTGTAAAAGTAAACGTATAGTCAAAACGTACGTTTATGTGTCCGAAATCCATTAGGCCTATTATAAATGTGGAGTGTAGCCAAGACACCTCATGTCAGAAACCTTTTGAAGAAATTCTACAAATGCATGAAGACTGACCAAGTTTTAACGTAGAAGTATAGTGTGATGTAGTGAATATTGAAAAATCTTTAGTGTAAAGTATCTTATTATATTGGTGTGTCATTTAACATTAATGCTGGCAGTTTTACAAGATAAATAAAATTACCAGTCAATTATCAAAATTTATAAAAATGGTTCATCTACAGAATGTGGTGATAAAATTAACCTTTTTCCTGATGGTATATGAATCCATTGAACACGTGGTTTATTTTTCGATATGACCCAACATGGGAGATTGATTTGTTCATTTTCCAATATGTCTAATATCAAAGTATTCTTAGCATTCGACTGGTTGGAAAAATGTGTAAAAGCCTGGAATGTTTTATTGTATCTGAAATTGAGTACAAATAACGTATGACCATTTATTTAAAATATTAGAAAGCTGTAAAATGTCTGTTAACCACTGAACATATAAACACTACAACCCAAGTAGCTTCATTTTGTTTCACATTTTCATTTGTTTGTATAACTTATTATATTTATCTACGTATCATAGTCGTTATACTCGTTTCGAAGTATGCTTAGGACTTTTACGGGTTCACCTTAGTCGAGTAATGAGAACAAAACAATGAACCAGTGTCAAGGTAGGCTACGGTGATCCGATTGTCCCAATTGCACCAGTAAGAAGCCTTGATATAGTGTAGAAATTGTATCCTACACACACCCAGTCAGCACACAATGAATCCAAGCACTCAAATTGCGTTTATTTATACTCTATAGAGACGTCCCTGGGATAGTCACAAAAATAGCACACTAAAATGACACAGTAGCCAATCACAGCTGAGGAATTTCCTGGTGGGAAATGTGATCTCACGGTCAAATGATCGGTCCATGAAATATATCCAAAATAAAGATATTTATCAAGCCAGTTCTTGGGATCTAACATCCACAACAATAGTAATCAAAATATTCCTACTGTCAACTTTCATTAGGTTTTCTTCTTCGGTTCTGATATGGCTTTCAGATGAGCAAAATTATCGAATTAAAACATAGTTGCATAACGAAAGTAATTAAGTTTGTAAAAAATCTTAGTGAATTTACAAGTCAGCAAAGACGAATTTCATCAAAGTGATTGTATCTTTTGTTAAGAATGGTTTTATTTTCTATTATTCTACAACTAATTACAATCTGGAAGTACATACTACACTACAGCATTGTTTTTTAAAACATAACCTATAAAATCTATGCTGTATTAGTTACTATTTATTCGATTAATCAAAATAAAAACTTACACTAAATTTTAGAAAATAAAAGATTAAAAAATTTCTTAACCAATATATTGCTTTGTTAAGTTTGTATAACTTACTGCTTGCCTGTCAATATCTTGTAGTTAAGTGTGGAATAAACTAAATCGTTCAAGTTACCTTACAAGAAAAGAAAGAAATTTGGAATTCTGGTTAAATGAAATTAAAAGTACTTGATACAAAAATCTTCTTCTGTATATTTTATTACTAATTACATTCAGTTATAAGTAAATTAAAAATTTTTCTATTAATAAGAGATATTTGAAAATAACGGAAATTTGAAATAGGATACTTTTAAATGGCTATAAACACATGTGATAAATAGTTTTCTAATGAGTTAAATATCATTTAAATAAGTTAATTGTAGATCTGATCAAAAAGACATCGAAGTGGTGGGCTCCAAATGATAAACATTCTAAAAAGAATACGATCCAAGAGTTCAGTTTCTTTCAAGAATTCACGGCCTCACAAAAAATGATGTGAGAGAATACTTTTTTTCAGAAATAATGTGACAAATTTCTGTTAATGGCAGTTGGCTGTCTTTTAGCATCTAGTATGTTTTTATAAGGATTTCAAAAAAACAATGGTTAGTAAAAAAGGCATTAGGGATTATTTTGACACGTAGAAAATGAAAATTTCAATAAAGTACAAACTTTATTGAGTATTATATGGAATCAAACTATTTACTGTTGAAGGCAGTTGATAGCCATAAAAGACCTAAGTGGGAATTCGTATTTTTACTTTTGAAGTAGAAAACGAATTCACGTGATCAAAATGGATTTCTTACATTATATTTGAAAATTTAATCCATCTTCATGGTGTTCATTATGATGTTCAGGAGCTAGTATGGAAAAGAATAACTAATGGTCATGTCTGCCTAAATTAATGTAATGGTATGGTGTGCAAACCCATGTATGTATCGATCAGTTCCTCCACACACATTGTACAATAAAATGAGGTTAGCTAATTAAGCATGTAATTATTTTGGATAGACTTTGGTTAAATTACAATTTTTATGCGTTTCATTCCTTTCATGCTTTCACAAACATTAACATATCGGAATGTAAAGAAACTGATTATTTTTAGCTGTACAGTTAACATAAGTACCCATCAAAAGATGGTGATTTCTAATATGAATTGTTATTTTCACAATAATGTTTATACTTATTTATGTTACTTTGATAAACACATTCCTAGCATGTGGCTTGTTATGATTGACTAACTTCAAATTATCGTCTTACAATAAACAATCGATTTTCGCTAACAACAAAACTACTGTGCAAAACAAGTAATTAGTTTATTGTAAAAGAAGTTATTGCATTGACTTAAACATATGCATGAACATTGTCAAGCTGAGGATGGAAATAGTATACAATGTGGAAATTTGGTACATCTGATTAGGAAACTGATTATTCTGTTTATGTTACATTTTTAGAAAACTATTACTGATGAACACAGGCAATGAAATAATCAAGAGTTTGACTTCCCTTTTGTCAAAATTTAAGAAATATTTCTAGTCCTTATTGATCATTAGATGAATATTTGATTTAAAAAGAATTTTCATAAGGTGAATCCAATGAATGCATTATACACTTTAAATTTCAACTTCTAGTAATATATTTATTATATTTTTCTGTATTTTAAATGTAATATAAACAAATATTTATAAGTAGATCTATGTAAATATTTCTGTTTACATCCTGTGTAATAGTTTATTATGATTCTATGACCTATATTCGAAAAAAAATATTTTACATAAAAAGTAATAAATTCCCTAAAATTTTCATTCTAAATCTGTTTAATTGTTTATATTTATAGATGTATAGTTTATTTTCTTACAGCTGGAAGTGTTATCCGTTGTCAGTTCTTATCGTTCACTAGAATTTACTGGAAGTTAAATCATTTACAATGTTGATTAGATCGGAACACATCAAAAAATGTTATAAATTTATTATTTATTTATTAGTAAACGTTGAATCGCTCTCTCTCTCTCTCTCTCTCTCTCTCTCTCTATATATATATATATATATATATATATATATATATATATATACAAGCAACCATCCCCGTCTAAAACAAGACGGTGGGCTGTTAGGATAAGTGCAAACAACGGTAACCAAGTTGATTACTAGAATCTCAAGTCTGCCTTATGAAGATAGACTGGCTGAATTAAATATTTTTTCCTTGTCATATGGGAAGATCAGAGGTGACTTAATCACTAATTTTAAATTAATGAGTAATTAATTTGCATCCGACATATCCTCTTTTATCTTGTCATGAAAAACGAAATTTGTGAGGACAATCAACGGATGGAACTTGTTACCAAAACACTTGATTGAAGCTACATCTGTCAGCTTACTAAAGAGAAAGTTGTATCAACTGAGAGCCTAACATTGACATACCTAACATAGGCTGCCTAGCCTTCTATTTTTTTTCAAATTGAAACCGAAAATTACAACTAACGAGTGTTCAGGATGTTTTTATTTTGTGAATTCATATCTGCTAATTGGTAGATTAGAACCAAGGTTTCTAGAAAAATATTCTATGCAGTCAGTTTACTTACGATAATGTGAGATGCTGTAAATAAGCAATCGATCCTTTCGTTTGAAAGCATGAGTACACTGAGTAGATAAATAGCTTTTCATTTCTACGATTGAGTACTGATATTCAATGGGAAGAATATGTTTTAATTTCAAAAGATAAAAAAAGCTAATAATTAACTATTTACATACTCAGTGTAAAGATTCGATTTACAGATTCATATTTTAATCAGGTATTTTCTAGTAAGCCTAAGTTTCAACCATACATTTATTATCTAACTGAAAATGTTAACTTTCTTAAAATCTTTGAAAATAACTGCTATTTAGCGTCCTGAATAAAAAGGAAAGTAATCAGTATAATCGTTAGACAGGTATGTTTTACTAAATTATTGAAATTTTTACTGATTATTATAATTATTATTGCATAAAAAGGTCATTTTTGACGTGGTTTTTTTTTCAAATCATATTGTACAATTTATAAATTACTATAGCTTACCTGACAACCGAGATTTCTTGTCCAAAATTTCAACTAATAACCGATGTATATTTTTGATCGTATCAGGTGATTCTTCTTTAATAATGCTTCTTTTAAATCTACTTTTAAGTAGACAAGTTGCTTCACATTCTGCTTCCGTTTTAAAAACACGTCCAATCATTTGACTTTCATAAGCATTTAACTGACCATACAATCTTTTCGGTTCATCTAAACAAATAGGTACCAGAATAGGCACACAAATACCATCGATTGTTTCATCGGTCACGTGGACACTAGACGTAATTTGAAATCTGTAACCTAATTCATGAATTATATCTTCACTGTTACAAAATGTATGCCTGTCCATATCATCATACTGACTTGTAGTGATGAATGGTAAACATGGAAACTTTTCCATCAAGGTATCTGGAATCAAACAGACAAAAACAGACTTCGTGAAAACAAATGTTGTATCATTTGTACGATAACACTAATTCAACAAAATGACGCTTTACATAGAACTTATTTTTAGCATATAGTCATAACAGTGAATGGAGTATGGCTTAAATGAATTATTACAAACAAAGTTTATTAAGCTACCTTCATAATTTTGTACAGTTTCATAGATTTCATCTAATATCTCAATCGGTGTTATATACCACTGAGACTTAACAAACTAAGAGAACCTGGTTTTAAAACTAACGTTTATTATTAAAACTGTTTTCAGTATTCTGTTGTTTCACTTGCAGTTACTTACTTTCTGCGAATCTTCATACTCAGTAATAAACAATGAAGATTTACATACTGTACACAATCAAGTTAATATATTTTGCTTAAAATAAAATACAGTTTATTGATTACATATGGAAAAATTGCACATTAGTTTTTTTAAGCGACAAACTCTTAATGAATGTAACTATGATTTATACTTTAATGGGAAATTGTAGTGCTTGCAGTGTGTACAGTAATTACGTATAAAGTGATTCAATCTAATTCTCATGACCTTAACATTAACATAAGACACTAAATTGAATGGAATTTCAATGAAACCATGAGGCACTCCAAGTTAGACTACTATTGAAATCCTGAAAGACAGTTACATCCTAATGTAGTTTATTCAACAGTGCTTGTCCTTGACCCGTACATGTCAACTGAACCCAAAATCCTCGACCTAGCAAGTGAAAGCTTAGCCTCTAAACCACTTTCTTGGCATCTAACAGTTTTATTATCTAACCTCAAACAACCCATGAGATTGTATGAGCATCTCGATTTTGATTACCACCTGTGAGATTTTAGATGCGCACTGATGAGGAAACCCATACTAAAACGAAGCAACCGTCCAGTTCTGCCAAATTGTCTATAGTAGTTTAATTTAGGTCATTTTATAAAGTTCATGAAATTAAATTATTCCCGAAACCATTTACTGCTTATCCAAATCCAAATACCATAATGAAAAACTTTTTCTTATAATAGAAGCATAACTTTTTGCCTGTTATAAGTCAATATTGAACAAGTAACAATAAATCTTCTATAATGTCTTTTTATTTCGTACATGAAGTACAGAAAATATGAACACTTAAATAATACTTTTTATTCACAATACATTTATAAAAGGAAAGTTAATTTAACATAAATTTCTTTAAATAAAATATTTTTTATTGAAATAATATGCAATTGAAGTAAATAGCTGTTAAATAAGGAAGAAACTTCATAGGAAAGAATAACCTACACTTTTCATAGATGTGTTAAATACCAGTTATTTAATTATGAAAAAATAGCTGTATATCTATTAAAGTTCATTAAACAAATCTATATTAAAGTACTAAGTTCATAAATTTAGTTTTTTTTTTAGTTGATAGGACAATAATTACCTCATGTGAAAAACTCTTTTACCTAATTTAGTTTAAAAGGTATGTATAATTTTCAACAGAAATGAAATACAGCTATTTGTTTTCATCTTTTGATTAAATAATGATTAAATTTGGTTTGACCTTCAATAACTTCCAGAAACTGAAATTGGAAATCCACAGTATACATGTTACTTATTTAAGCCTGTTAAGCATAATGGAGCATAAGCCACCAACCAGCATTCTCCAACCTACTCTGGACTGAGTCTTCCTTTCCTGTTCTATCCGAATTTTGTTCCTTCTTTTCAAGTCTGTCCTAAATTCTCGGCATAATGTGTTCTTTGGTCTTTCTCTCCTCCTTTGGCCTTGAGGATTCAAAGTGAGGCTTTGCCTTGGGCGCTTTCCTCAATGTGTGTCCTCTCCGCTTCCAACGCTTCTTCTTTATTTCCTCTTCAACTGGAATCTGGTTTGTCCTCTCCCACAGCATATTTTTGCTGATGGTGTCTGGCCAACGAATCCGAAGTATTTTATATAGACAATTGTTATTTAATACTTGTATCCTATGGACGATGGCTTTGATAATGCTCCAAGTTTCGACCCCATATATAGAACTGTCCTGACATTTGTATTTAAAATTGTGACTTTTTTGTTGATTGATATTTGTTACAAATGTTCTTCAGATGTAGAAATGCTGGCTTTCCTTTGCCGATCCTTGATTTCACATTTGCATCAGATTCACTCTGCTTATCAATAATGTTGTCCAGATATGTAAAGGTTTCCACATTGTTCAGATCATATTCATCAAGTATGATTTGGTTGGTGCATGTTGTGTTGCATCAGAGAATGTTGCTTTTCCCTGATGTATGTTGAAACCTGCTGCTGCAGAGGCTGCTATAAACATATATTATCATACAAACTTTGATTAAATTCTGGTGTAAGATATAAATCGCAATACTTATATTCACTAAACGACATTGTACCTTTCTACTGACACCATACAAAAAATTCTTGAAACAACATTAAAAGCATAGTCTTATTATATGAGTTATCAGTTGCTGATATTTTTGTTCTGTTTTATAAATCAAAAACCTTAATTTTTAAATAATTACACCGAGATTTTATGTTTTTTATTTTGCTCATCTCTATCCGAATTCACTACTGATTTACAAAATGAATATAGAAGGAATTCTCAGCTAGATAATACGTGAGTTGAGCGGAAGCATTTTCGAGCCAATATTCATTCTGTTTGTGGTATCGTTTGATAAAAATAAATGGTCCATGTTCAACACTGTATCATGCAAACCTTAGTAGTTATTACCAAATAACTTGATTGTGTTCATAGAGAAATTAGATTATGTAAATGTAACTTATCTGTTAAATGATCACATCACAAGCTAAGATTACACTTTTCTGCCTATTCAAAAATGCAACTATGTACATACTTTTATTATCACTTGCGACTCCATGAATACTTTTAGCAGTGTTTTCAGATGCCATCGGTACTTTCATATTCGTAGGATTTTCCATAGATGATGCTTGAATTATTGTTTTGTTGAATTCTTCGGAATTCCTATCAGCATTCAAATTGTAATCAGGTATATTCTTTTCTGCGATAACTTCAATGTCTGGTACGTAAATACATGTTGCATTGCATACACTAAGCGATGGAAAATTGTTTCCATGTGCCAGCAATCCAGTGAAACGAAAAGGAAGACACTGCTTTTTAGTGAGATCATAATAGAATCTTTCAGGATAACTTTGGTCGGTCGAATTTTTCTAGAAAAAAGTAAAATGCCAAAAAACTTGTAATAAAGTACTCAAAAGGATAACTCCACTGCAAACTCAGATTTCAGGTTACTAAGGGTCCTAAGCTTGGAAAATGAATTGGTTAGGGCATTGTGTCATAAAACTCAACCAGTAGAAAGTAAAATTCTTAAACAAATGTCTATCAAAAAAATCTAAATCACTTAAATTCTACCCTAGTAGTTTAATCGTCATGGTTTATGGAAGCAATCAAGTCTCACAGCGAAAGGGGATTCTCTTCGGAAATCACGAATCCGATTCTCATTCTGAAAATCAGATTAACAATTAATGTTGGTACATGGAATGTCCCCATTATATGAGAGACTGTGAGGACCACTGGAATGTCTGCTGGAATGAAGAGATACAAGTTGGAGGTACTTCGAATCGGAGGAACCCATTGAACCCGAAACGGATAAAAAAGATTAACGTTAGGAGAGTTGATATTTTGCCCAGTTTATGAAGAACGAAATGCATTTGCAGATGACAGAGCTCTTTCGTCTTACATACAGCAATAGATGTAAATAAAGACAGACAGTATCGTATCAGCATCTGCAGCAGTAGGTCTCAACATACACAAGGGGAAAAGCAATATCTTTAGTTAAAACACAACATGTACAAACTAAGTCACATTAGACGGAGAAGCTTTGAAAGATATGGGAAATGCTGCATATTTGTGCGACATGATTGATAAAGACGGGTGGATCCGATGCAGATGTGAAGACACGGATTAGCAAACTAGGAGCAGCATTTATGCAGTTAAATAACATCTAGAACTGAAAACAACTGTTTGTCAACCAACACCAGACTAACAGTTTTAAATTCAAACATTAAAACCGTCCTACTGAATGAAGAGGAAACTTGGAGGATTTCGAATGCTATCGTCCAAAAGATACAGGAATTCCAAACACATATCTGTTCAAGATACTCTAAATCCGCTGTCCGGGAATCATCGGCGACAACCTAGCATGGAAGGAAACAAACCACCTTCTAGCTAAAGAAGATATAAGGAAAAAGCGCTGCAAGTGAACAGAACAAACTTCAGAAATCACCCAACTTTATCACGAGGTAGGCCTCAATGTGGAGTCCTCTCAGACAAAGAAAAAGTGAAGTACCAGAGAAAACGTTGCACCTGGAATCAGAGGTATCAACTAGAGGTACTAAGAGAATAAACAGCGCTTGATGACAACTGGAAAGCAGAACTTAAGGTAGAGTATTTTGAATATTTCTGGTTGATAGATTATATGACATGAGTGGTAACAGGCTTAAGTAAGTAAGTACTCGAAAAATGTACTCTACAGAAGTTTACCTCATGTAAACTACACACTTATTTACGAAATATATCAAATTGCTTGTGAACAAGCTCTGCACAGATTAAATGAAAACATTCCTGATTACAATTCTATGGGTATTTTATGATGATTACGGGTAAACTTACTGACGTCTGTCGCTTGTTTTTGTTAACCATAGGTTCCTAACATCAATAATTGATAGCTTAGATAATGATTTTATGAAAAATTACTAATTTCTTTTAGAATAAAAACGTCAACAATGGGATCCCAGTGAATCCAGATAGCTTTATGAATAACTAAACATGATTCTGCTGATTACTATACTGAAATACCGGTATAAACTCAATTACTATAGTCTTAATGTAATCATGAGAAGTTCATTAATTCCTTTTGAAAACTACCATAATTCACCAATAAAGTTAACAAAAAAGACTTTACTATAAACAGACGACATAGTGTTTCGCTTTGTTTGAATATTTAATCAGATAATGAATAACAGGAACATCAGTGAATTTCTAACACGAAGATGAAACTTACTTGTAATGGTAGCCTACAAACATCTTTTCCCATGCAAAATCCTTCACATTCTGCCTTTGTTATAAAACGATTAGAATTTCCAAAGCATCCACCGTATGTAAAAGGCATGCACATTCGTTTATCCATATTATAGTACCATCGTTTTTCGAAGCTTGAACATCCACCGTGATCGTGTGGAAGTCGACAAACATCTAAAAAATGCAAATTTATATTTTCTCAATTGGTGTTTTATAAGTTGCTCAAATGAATTCCAAGTGTAATAGTGTCAATACAATTGATGAAGGCATTTAGTAAGATAGTCGGTTTTACTTTAAGATTAGCTTTAGAGGTGATGGGATCGATAAATAGCGTAATTTATATTCCAAATACATAAATCATGACGTTTCAGATTGATTAAATTGTTTCATCAACGGGATAACGTGGAATAAAGTTTACTGTCTACTAAATATTATTTTCAAGGGTTGTTATAAATTAAAGGATATGAGTAAACAAATCCGGATTACAGCAACTTCAGAAATTTATCGATAGTCAAAATATCTTTCATTATGGATGGATATCATTTACAAACGTTATAATTAATAACCGAAATGAGTCGCTTTTAAGTTCACGACTAGTCTACAGTGTAAGCATATTACTTGGCACGAAACAGTTTTTGACCAGTAAAAAGCCTTTTTTAAGGCAATGTTTTAAATTTTCTAATTTATATTCTTTCTGTAAATTAATTATTCATTCTGGAGAGGTACGCTTGCAATAAAAACTTGAACTTCGCCTTCAGCCTTAATCTAAACAAATTTATATTGTTTGATTTTTTCAAACAATGAGATTTTCACTGTGATAAATTAGACTTTTTCACAGTAAAGTATATTTTCAATCCAACTTCAGTCATATGCAAATTTATGAAACAGTAGTCTAGTAAAACACTTGTTTTACTTTGTTATGTTTAAGGAAAGACTATTTAGTGAGAATAGTTGTTGAAAATGTGTTTGGATTTGATAAATCCCTAAAACTCTACTTCTTGTGACGCTCAATCCATGGTAATCATCCATCACACGTTTATTTTGTTAAGGCAGATGCTGAACGTGAGATACATTTTACCATGTGGACAATTATCTAAATAGTGAGATAACAGTTTAATTGGCATAAATTGTTCAAAAGTGTGGTTGTTTATTGGACTAGTTAAAACAGTTTTCCAAACAAAAATGTTTTCATTATGAAAACAAGAAACTTCCGAGAACGAAAACAAACCTATCGGATGTCCAGGTGTACATATATCTTGACACGCTTTGTGACTAGGAAAGTTATTCCCGTATTGTGGACAGGTTATATAACTTCTACATTGTGTTTCTCTGGGTTCAAAATACCATCTAGTAACCATAGCATTACAACCATATGGTACAGTCACAATCGGGTTCATATGACAGACATCTAAAATGAAGATAAAACAGAAAAAGTAATTTCAAGGTTTAATCATTTCTAAGTTAAAACAGATTATTAAGTAAAGAATATTGTTGTAGGTCATATTCTCTTAGGATTATGCTTCAATGTACAGTTTTATTTAAACTCACTTATGAAAAGCAATCAATCTAATAAGGTAATATCTGCAATTTAGTGATAACAATGATCTACACCATACTGATGACCATAGTAATCAATTGAATATTTGATAAAATGTGTAGCATAAGTAGTAGTATTATTGACAGTAGTACTGGTAAGAATATTTCAGACACCACATATTCACCACCAACGAAATTAAATAAGACGGTACAGTGTACTAACTTCAACAAACTCTTGCTGAACTACTAATAGGAATATTCACCTTTACGTTATCTGATGAAGTCCATCCATAATATCTACCTCCACAAAAATAGTTGAATCTCTAAACGCCTCCTGTGGTGGTGAAATTGGATATCTTAATTTTTGTTTGAAGAGATGCTTATGGTCGACTAGACAACAACAAACAAGAATTAGCTGTGTTAAATGTTATTTTTAGCAAATCTTTCTAGTCTGTCATATAAAACTAGAACGCTTCATGTGTATCTCTTCAGAAAACATTCCGGAAAATCAATTTCAGTGATCAAGTGATGTTTCCATTCCGTTTGTAATTCAATTAACAAGCAGATTTCTGGAAAGTTACAAACCAGAAAAAGAGTAGTTAAACAGACAAGAGGATTCTCTATTATTACACATGAATAAAATAAATTTCATAATCAGTTATTAGCTCATAAACTTTGTTACTTAAATAATTTGAACATAAATTGTCTAAGATCGTTCTCTAAAATAAGTGTAAAAGAAAAAACGTGTTTTAGTCATTTCACTGTCCATTTAACATATTTTAACCCACTCAGTGGTGAACTGTTGATCGTCTAGACTATTTTTATTATAATATGATACTAAACAAGATAATCTTTGTTAACATTTTATTGCATAAAATATAATTCACCATTTAATTTTGACTGAAAGGAGTATAAAGATAATGAATTTTGAGATCTACAGTTCAACCTAAGATATGAATATTGATTAACTACTAGTATTCAGATACTTAGAGATTCTGGAGATTTTGTTTAGCTATCTTAAGTATTTTATCAACACAAGTAATTCTCCAGCTGTATTTAGTTCTGATTTTGTTTATTTTTAAAACAATGAATCCATGATAAGACGATTCCTGAAATCCATTCAGACTTTTAGACTTCACCGAAATAGCTCTTCAAGGCACAAAGATAAATTTAATAAGAATTGAGCTAAATTAGAAAATAAACGTCCAAATAGAGTCACTCTTTATTTTAATCCTTTTATCTGACATAAATTGTTAACTATATTACACAAGTTTTTCACAGATGACTAACTAATAATCATGACATAAAATTGATGTAATTCAAGAGAACCTCACATTGTCATTTAAATCATCTAAGATTCTTTATTGAATCATATCACTTCATAAAACAAACAGTAAACTAACTTTGTGTATCGGTTCCTCTGGGTGGTTTCGGTAAGCAGTGATACTGACATGCACTACGAGTTGCATAGATCCCTTCAGGCAGATTTCCAGTTCTTGCTTGCCATACCCCAAGCCATTGACTTGTTCTTCTTAAACGAAATGAAAACTTCTTTTCAGGTATATGAAATTCGCTCTCTCTGTCGCTAGGTTCACATATTTCAAAGAAATAACAATCTCCGATAGTGTGATTATAAGCCCATGCTTGAATCCCGCTTCCAGGACATTTCGTGATTGATTTATTGAAGTGACAGCGAGCAAACTCTTTGAATAAAATGTTATTCAAAATGAAAAAGTTATCAGTTGTAACTGGAAAAAGTGATTCATAACAGGTCTATCCGTTCTTAACTTAATGGAGAACAATAAGTGATTGACCTAAGCTAACTAAATACTCAATTCCTGTTTCATAACAAATATTTCCGGAAAATGTTATCACTGGATAAATCAATTTATTCTGTGAACGATTTCACTGTCTTATATATCTTATTTGTCAATTAAATTTCAACAGTAAAAGTAAGTAATCACAATCATTATTCATAACAGTGATACAAATTCTTGTATATCTTTGATCTGTAGATGTATTAATTGTTACCATACAATTATTAGAAAGGTTAGAAATATCCCTTTTATTGATAATTCTGCGTAATTTCTGATCAGTCTTGGGTGGTGATATCTATAATCTATGTGAATGACCTCGATGCACAGATCTGTTACAAGTTTTTTTGAAGAAAGGGATTGAATTGTCATCTAGAAATCAACCTTTGGAAAATGACTATATCAAACCAATTGACTCAGGATATGTATCTATCAGTTGACCATGATCACGGTTTAGTCAGAAATATTAGCAAAGAGATAGCTCAAAATATAAATATCATGCCCATTAAAGAAGTAAATAACTATCTAGGCTCAGTGGCTTAATGAATAATAAGTTGGAGTTTAAAGTGAGAGGGACCAGTGTGAAAACTGAGTAGCAAGTACAATATGTAACTGATGAGTCTTACTTTTTAATCGAAACTTATTTCGAGGATCCTTCTGCTAAATGAAATCTATATTTTCGATAAAATATAGGGCTTTAGATAAACCTTGCGCTCTAAGACAAGTTGATAATTTCTTCAATGACAGTAAATAGCTGCAAAAGAAAGCATATCCAGTAAATCAGTGCATGATACTTAAACTGACCTTGCCTACTCTTCTTTTTCAAGAACAAGAAGAAAAACTTGTTTACAGCAAGTACTGAATTAATCATTTGAGTATGAAAAGTTGAAAGAATAACCGAAACATATCGAAAGTTTTGTAAACATAGTCACTGATGGGAGACTTATTAAAGTGCACTAACATTTTATCTATCTTTAAATAATGATGATCCCAGTTATATGAAGAGCTTTCACGATGTATATGTTGTTAAAAATGATATAATATATATCATCTGTCTGTTAATTGTAGTGCTTATGCATTTAAGCTGTGACTTTCCCAAAATTTCGAACAACTCACACAGTTTCAGTGTGATCAGTCATCAATAATAGGCATCTGGATCATTTATGTCAGAAAATCAGCAAGTTTGTTATAGAATTTCAGGACTGAACAGTGACTAACGTGTCATAATAATCCGTATTAAAGAATCATAATGATAAGATTATTTCTTATAGGACGCCATTACAAAAATTTGGTATCGAACTGATATCTCAGAAATTAACAGTGTGAAACAGTTTACTATAAGCTTCAGTTGATAGTTAATTATATTTAACAACATGAGTGTCTTATATCAATCCATCTGAATAGCTTACGTCGTACAATCATATATTAAATGTGTTTGTTTAAGCGAATGATTTGTTAGAAATAGATTTCAAATTGTTCAATCTACTTCTTATTCGGATATTTGTCTATAAGTGTTTCTCTACATCTTTTTACTAGTTACATTTTAATTGACGTATGAGGTAAGGAAGATTTCTTTTTGTAAACAATCATCAAAAGATTAAATTTACAAATGATTCTTTTTCTATTATAGCAGATTAACATGTTCTTTAATTAAATAACAACATATCGACTTAATGAATAAGAACAGTATTCTGTTGTAAAAGTGCATCATTGTAGCAAACAAATGAGAGAAAAACACATCAAGCTACATCTATTTTCGATTTCCGATATCTAAACATATTTACGTTTTCTGGTAGTAGTCAACATAAATTTAATTAAATATTCATATTCGTTGGAATAGACTTTTCAACACAGTATCAAACAATTTAAAAGCTATCAATTTGAATACCATCAACACCTGGAGTTATTTAAGTGGGACCTAGTTCATTTTTTCTTATGTTATAATATTTTTAAAGTTATTTTGGGTCAAGTAAAATAAAAATTTCTTGATATTTATACATAATGTCATTACTTGAACAATGTAGCATTTCGTTCTAACAGAAATGACTAAAGTGTAATCTGAGATGGTAGAGAGAATTTGTAGCTCAGGGGGATGATTGTGATGGTTTTTCATTCTCTGAGAACAAGAAACACTAGAGAATTTTCAGAAGCTTGGCACTCAGGTCAATCAGCAATCAACAACCACATTGAAATTGACCCAATTTATTAACCAATAAGAAAAATCATAGGCGACATAGGATCAAAAAAAAGATACAATCAAACCAAAGGTGCAAACAGCGACAGGTTTAAGGTCAACAACAACCAGTCAACATCAAGGTTAACAGAACAAGCCACGGGTCAAACCTGGAGAAATTCGAATACTTTACTTCTATGGTACGTTTGTGCTGATGATGTTGTTCAGACGAAGGAAAAAAAACACAACCGAAACATCCAACTCAGAGAACGAAACACCATTGCAAAGTGTAGTCTTCTCTTTGCTTCATGTAGCTTTTGGTTTACCTGAAAGTCTACTGTTTGTGATTCACTAAAGCATAGTCTTTTAGTTAACAACTAATTGAGAGGAAGTTACCTATTTATTAGCTTCTTTTGAGCCATAAAAAAACTGATTTATACGATTATCATAAGCATATTTGTTTGTTTACATTGAAGAAAATTGTTTATATACAGAAAAAAGAATCAAAATATATATTATAACTCACTTGGATTTTTCAATCGATTCTCGCACACTGTTTGACATTTTTCTAATGTGTCAAAATGATTTCCCCGCGCACCACAACCGGTAAATGTGTAAGGTTGACATTGACTCAAACGACGATCATAATAATAACGAGTTAATGGTACATATGGATATTCACTTGTTGTTTGATATTGACCACCCGATAATGAACATGTACCATAACTATGACTATCCAAACAAATATCCCAAGCTAAATATGCATTGATAATTTATGAACATGATTAACTGAGTATTATATCAACTGTTGTATAGTTTTGACAATTTGTTTTCTTAATTTTAACTGGTACCAGTAAGTAAAACTCAAGGGCAACTATTTTTATTTCAAACTACAAAAAAATGCTCACAATGTATTATGGTCTAAATGATACGATTAACATACATATTCATCCTGTTAAAACTTTCCTTCTTTGATTCATTCATTGATGCTACCATTTATTGATTTTTTAAAATACATTCAATTCTGTTCCGTATGAATTTCAGGACATTTTTTTCTAATTAAAAAAGGACTATGGGTAAAAGATTCTGTAGTTAAATTTTTTCATCCTTCTGCTAATTTTCAAAAGTGCTAATATTTCTAAATATTTACACCATGTTACATAATCACAGCGCAGTGTTAAAAGATATCGGGTTTTAAATGTTATAAAACGATTGAATATTGTACAAAAATGCTGTCTGTAAAACATTTTAATTAGTCATTATCTATATCATTTTTATCTATTTAGTTATCTATCTATTTTCGTTTAACCATGACTACCACAGAGACTGAGAATTCATTTGATCTGAAGTAGTTATGTCAAAAATCAACATAAGCTAAAAAACAATTGAAGACTCTCAACAGTTGTTTAGCTGATATCGAGAAAGTTGTTTTGTTTTAAAGCTCATAAGCACTAGGTATCCTTGGATCCTAGTTTGATGATTAGTTGAATGATCCGGCAGTTACAAATCACTTGGTTGATTCAAGTGTCACTGATCGCTCTTTTTAGTCACATTAAGACGTTCTGTAGATTAATCAAATTAATGTAATTGCATCACAGATAAAGCAACTATAAACTAGTATCACTAACTCTCTGTTAAGCAGTACGGTCATGTTTCATCTGTAATAATTTGAACTTGGATAGTGAGTTATATTCATTCCAAACTAGTGATTCTAATGATCTTTCTCATACTTCAACCATCATTTCTTTGATGATCATCTTCTAACTTTCTATACTTTCAGGTATAAGGAGTTTTATTGTCAGAAGCTTAGGAGTCTTACGCCAGCTAGTTGTTTGGTAGGTAACTTTTAAAGCAAGTTGTTCAAGATCATTATAAAAATATGGGATTTTTCACATGATTTCAGCTCACAGCTAAAATGATTCGGAAACTAGAAACTGTTAAAATGTATTTCTTTTAGTTTTAAACTTTCCTTTTATTTTAGGATGAAATTAACCTTCAAATAAAGAGACACATATTTCTTATTCTATCAGGAAAACTTTGTTAGAATGAGATTCATAGAAGAAATGAAAATAAAGTTAATTCATGTTTACTGTTTAACTGTCTTTCTAAGTGAACAGGTGCATAAAATCATTTTACTTATTGAAGAATCTAACCCAGAATAATCAAGGGAGAGAGTTTCAGCATTTTCAAATCAATATAGTTCAACTAAACTACATAAAATAATTTGATTTAAAACATTATGAAAATCTTTCTTTAATGTATAAACCAGCATTGTTCACTTATTATCGGTGAACAAATCTATCATCTTATTCGTAAATATGATACATGTTGTAGCGGCTCACATATATCTTGTACTTTTATCATTGTTGAGCTTATATGCGCATGTACGCTTGGGCATTACTTTCCACCTACACATATACCTTTATCGATTAATAGTTTGAATAATTCGAGGTCAATATCGAATATACATCTTGAATTAAATCCGATGTTTGTACCGATCATAAAATAATTTGAATAATCATCAAGACGGAGATATACGGAACTTCGAAAATAACGAACGTCCAGCGCCACAATGTAAATCAATATAGCATTGAAAATAATGATTGATTTTCGTAGTCAAAATGTGTAAAGGAAAGTTTTAGTTATTAGCATGTTATTGTAAGTCTTGTCTAAATTCAATAGATTGCGTAGTGTGTAACCATAGTATTTTCAAGTTGCCCCATAGTACACAAAATAGTACTTATGTGATTTTAATAACATTTCGTAATTTTGGTTTTCAAATAATAATACACTAAAAAACAACTTACGATAACGATCTGTGTGATGTTGCGTGATTTGTTTCATCTTCTCAAATACTTGAGCACTTAACGGTGGAGATTCATCATAAATAACTGATGTTTTTCCCAATGAACTTTCTTGTGATTTGGTATGATTTGATGTACTTAAAATATGTGTTGAAAATTGTGAACATGCTAGTTCACATTCTTTTCGTGAAAGAAATCTATTGAAGTTGCCTAAACAACCACCATATAGAAATACTCGACATTTTGATGTAGTGCTGTCATAAAAATAACGAGTTTGAAAACTTGTACAGGGACCAGGATCTTTTGGAAGTTGACAAACTTCTACATAAATGAAAATAGTTTAATGATCATGTTTACTTATGGTTTTTTACAATATTTTATTTCAAATAAACTACTCATAAAACTTATATTCACAATCTACAAAAATCCGTTAAAATAGATAAATAATTTCTTTCAAATAATTTCATTCATAACATTTATAGATTTCTGTACATTTCAGTTGGTCTTCGAATGTTATTTTTGTGTTACTTGTCATAATTGGCAAAAATAACAGTTATATAATGAAAATATCATGACCAGAAAAGTCATCATTTCTACTGAAACTGTTATTGTGTTTTAGTTTCCTTTCAATGAAAACCAACTGAGTTATTGTTTGTGCATCCATAAGATCTTGTAATTCTCAGTGTCGATTTTAACCCTCCTTTCTATTATTCATGTTAAGTGATTATTTTAAATTCACAATCAAAACTTCGTTTACTTTTAAGGTCAAATGATTCTAGTTTCTTGTAGTTAACTTATTCTGTCAGTTCTTTCACGACTACAGATAGTTTTATACATACGCTGATACCCATCACTATAACTTCGTTTGACTAACTTTACGAAACAATTATGAACTGTTGGAATTTATCCTCTATTATATTGTAGAATTGAGTTGCTCAGTATTATGTTATATAAATTTCTGGATATTGATGTGTGCACATTGACTACATCAATAATTTAATTACTTAGCCTTTCTTCTTTCTAATCATTTCGAGATGTAGCCATTTCAATTTACCATTATCTCCTTCCGTTAAATACGCTTGCTTCAACATTTGAATTTAAAGTCTAATTCAAAATTAGTGACAATAAGTTCTTGTGTTTAAATTAAGTTATGAAACTATCGCTCTTTAGTATATGTAACATTCGGTTTTAAAAATATAGTTTTCATATTCTACAGACAGAAGGGTAATTTAAAAAGTGAAGATGGTTTATCGACTAGTTAAAAAAAAAGGCTAAACTCATTCAGTTATTCATTTTTGATAAACATTAAGTAATCTAGTGAACTGATGGAACATTAATCAATGCCAAATCACGACAATGTATCGACTTCTGAAAAGATAACTATCACGTGTGCTATCTATGGATGTGGAGTTTTCTTGTTTTATATTACTAGATACATTTATAATCTATTGGTAAAAGTGAGAAATTGTTTGGCATACAAATGTGATTCATAACAACCTAAGTTTAAGCTTATTGCAGTTCACTGGTCTAAACTATTTACAAAACTTTTATTCAGTTTCATGTAACAGTAACTCAAATAACATGTGTTCACATTCTTTCAGATTTCATAAAGAACTTATTTGCTTAAACTACAAACGAGATGTATACATGGCGGTCATAATAATGTCTTCGTATAGTAATTATGCAGTATAATACAGCTGACAATCTTCTTTTACATGTTCATTAAAAACTTTATTTTAAATCTTGTAATTACTGATGAAACATCTTGAGATGGTGGAGAAAATTTGTAGCTCAGGTGGATGATTGTGGTGGTGTTTCGTTCTCTGAGCTGGATGTTTTGGTTGTGAAGCTTTCATTGTTCTTCTGAACAACATCATCAGTACAAACTTCAGAGAGAAGTCAAGCATTTGAATTTCTCCACGTTTAACCTGTAGCTTGTTCTGCTAACCCCGATCTTGATTGGTTGCTGTTGACCTTAAACCTGTCGTTGTTTACACCTTTGTTTTGATTGTATCCCCTTTTTGATCTGTTTCTTGATCCTACGTCGCCTATAATTTTTCTGGTTGGTTGATAAAACCTGTTTTTTTAACTAACTTATTAAGAGTTAATTACTAAAAAACTTTAATTAATGTATACTTCTGACTAAAGCATAAATTCTGATAAACTCTATTTATTTGACTATCTACTAACCTTCGAAACTAGATGCCATACAAGTAGTTTCACATTCACTTCTTGAAGGAAAATTATTTCCAGGTTGTTCAATTAATTGATCAGGATTTGTGCATTCAGAAAAACGTACGCATTGATTAATTTCAGGTAGATATGACCAACGATAAGTTTTAACACTTTGATCTGTGCAGTTCCACGGAATATGTGTTTTCCGAGCAAAACACCGATCTCAAATAAGCAAGAAATTTTGAGCAAATAGAACTTAAGTAATAAACTATCATTCATTACTACAGTGAGAGATGTCCTAAGATTAATATTATAAAACTGACAGCTGAAAAAAATTTTCTAACCTAGTTATGTCGTAGTTAACTATCTTTCATGCCCTTTAAATGTGTAAACCAAAATACAAAGTCCAAGCTTAATTCTTAGATAAGCTTTGACCATTAGAGTATTTGTATTATTTAGCTAACTAAAGTTTCCCATTCTAACTATGAATGTCACGTATGATCAATGTGACTTTTGTTTTTCATCTTACGCATCAAAAAGAAAGAAAATGTAAATCATAGAACAGGTTAACTTCAAAATTATGTAAATGATGTAATTCAGTTAGGAACTAATTGTCCTAATGTTATTTAGTTCATGTTAATGCAAATATCTATCAAGCCGATAATGGGAATCATACAATAATATCAATATAATTTCATTAGCACACCTAAAAATACACTGATTCTATTGAATAATATTGGATAATTTATCAATTTCATATGATTAATAGCTTGTCTGAAAATTTTTTCCAATAAATCAGTCCAAGAAACTTTATGTTTACACTGGAGAAAAAGAATTGTAGTCTACTGACACTCTTTTTATGATGAGTAGCGTATAAATCGTTTGAAAAAGAAAGTTTTTATTGAATTGTAGAAGTATCAAGTCGAAATTTACAGATTGCGAATCAAAATAATGGTAAACGATGCTTCACAGAGTTATTATTAATTCATAATTCTCATGAAACCTACAGTTACCCTACTTTACATGAGACGAAAGGATGTTATAACTACATGAGAAAAAAATTAGGGACAAATGGTAAGTTTCTTATTGATTTATGTTTTTTATTTTAATACAGAGAATAGAAAAACTTACTTTGTAAATGTTTCTCAGTTGGTGAAGATTTAACACATGCTCGTAAACAGTCGTAACCATTTGGAAAGTATTGTTCCATATTGCAACCAGTTCGTTTTGTATTTAAATGAAACGCTTTACATGTAGCACTAGCCATACTAAAGTGGAATGCAATTATATCATTTTCACTGGATACATCTTGTTGATTACCACTTACTGATAGTGTGTAACACTTCTTAACATGTGGATTTGAATCACAACGTTGATCTCCTAAACATTGAATTTTATAAATACTATCAAACAGAAATTTTTCTAAATCGTTAGTTAACTCCATAATAATAATGGAAAAGAAATATTTATTAAAAAGTATATCTAACAGTAGAAGGAAGTACATTTTAATATTTATGAGTGAATATGAACTTACGACGAGGTATTATTGACGGTGACTAATACTAGAGTGAATTGTTATCAATGGTTCAGTTAAACTTCGCCTTAGATATTTAACTAATTGGAATATTTTCTGTGTTCCATTTAGCAAGAACTAATTTCGTAATAAACGATTACTTTTGTTCATTTGAAATACTCAGATATTTGTCAAAATAAACATAATCTGTTGTTAAAAAATGTGGAATCATGTATTTGAAAACTAACCCAAATGTATTTGATTCGTACTTTTGACTGACTCCTACTACATATTGTATTATTACCTCTTATTCTCAGTTATTTGTTTCCTTAACCTTATTTATTCAACTTAGAAACTACTATTGCCTGTAGTTTTTAACAATTTATTATGCTGAAGAAAATCGATTCACGCATTATTCGTGTTCGTAAATAAAATCAGTTTGATTTTTCGTATGCAAACACGGAACTTACTATCAGGTCTGACAATTCTAGCCTTACATGCTGCCTGACAAGCTTGAGCATCATCGAATGAATTTTCAGAAGCTCCACATCCACTGTAACTGTAAGCTTCACAATTACTTGTATGAGCATTGAAAAACCATCTTTGGAAACTTAAAAATTGGCATGTCTGATTACGTCGATCTTCTTCAGAGCAATTTAATGGCCGACAAAAACCAAAAACAGGATGTCGTCGACAAGGTTCAAGATCTAGATAGCGTGAATAAACAGATTAGTTTGTATCACATTAGACTGCGTGCGAATAAACAGAAGTAAAAATAATCATCATGGTAAACATCACTTCTTGATTTTATAACTCTGGTTACAAATTGATGAATTTATTGTTTAGTCAGACCTCGGATGAATACGTTTATCAATTGACTTCTATTTGATGATAACATTTATTAGCTTACTGTCATCCTACAGAATTGAAGAAATCCTTGATAAATACTGATACCAATAATTTTCACTATCTATTTATATTTTGTTTACAATCACTTCCCAATCTTTAGCTGATCAAAGAAACTGCTTGAATAATACAGTACTTTACTTGAAAATACAAGGAAACTTCTGTAATGCATAATAAGGTACTAGTTTGTGTATAGACTTGGAGTAATGATGTGAATAAATTTAAATATTATTGAACTGTATCATACAATTTTCAAACAATTATCTCACTGAGTTAGTATATGAACATTCATCTGAAAAATCAGTGACCAATCGGAGTTGTTATGATAGAATTTAAACACTTGACCAGATCTTAGTGTAGGTGATAAAAAAATTAAACCTTGAACAAGGACGTTTTATCGATGCAAGAAATCATCTCCTTTGGTTGTTCTGATCATAGCGCAAGTTACCACTTTTGTATAAATCTTTTAACAAGTGATCTAAGGGTTTCAAATAATTAATTTGAACTTAAAATATATATAAAGGACAAATTAACAAAAAGTTGAACCAAGAAGCATGTACACATGAGTTACGTACTTTGAATGATGGCAAATTTTAAGAGACAATATATTTCAGGGTATCCATTCTGTCATTAAGCAGAAAGTGTTAGGATAACAATTGTTAGTCAGGAAAAATACTTTAACTTTATGCACGTAACACTGTAATCTATACGCAATAAAATAGTCACTATCCCTATATTTCACTATTTTACCCAAAATCCAAAGGCAATTTCAGCACATAAAAAGTTCTAAATGATAATTCGACAAGAATACTAAAAACTTGAAATCAAGAGAACAGGAAATTCTAATCACTTATAAATAGTCTAACAGACTGATATGAACCTAATTTTCAAACCAATTCCTTAAATAATATAAATTTCAACCGGTTACAAAAACCATAGCCAGGCATTACCAATAGCTATGCAAATATTTGAATCCAACTCATAAAAATTGTCCAATGACGTGATTTATGAATGTACGGAATTATGTGGTGTTTGAATTAACTAGTGACTTCTTGTTGTTGTTGAATGGTTGCTTTCGAATTCTAAATACAGTACATTCGTTCGTGCTTATCCCGTAGTTCTTGATTTACATACTTGTTATCATCATAAATTACTGAGACGTAATTCCTATGGAACAATCAGCTAAAATATATCTTCTATCTTTTTAAATAAATAACTAGAAGTCAAGTAAATCATTTCGCTTGGATTTCTGATTATCCTCTAGTTAGAATTTATTAGAGGCTTCATCCAATTGATTTCATATTAAACAAATCTTCGGAAAGTTTTTCCTACACTGAAAGATTAATTTATGAAAGAGTGAGAGTATCTGTTGTAAATCATGCTTTTGCTTGTAGAAATTGTCTGTGTGCGAGAACTAGAGGTTTTTATTAGTTGGAAAATATCTAATTTTTAAAGTTCAGTTGAACACTTTGTTTTAAATCATTTTAGATTAGTTGTGTTTCACAACGCTAGTCTTTATTAATTCGTCATGTTCTGGAAATTCTTTTTTTGTAAGCTACTTATGCTCCTCATTTATTGAGAAAGGATTTTCTATTACAAAATGATACTGAAAAACGAAATTTAAAAAATTTCCAACACTTACAACCGTTACTTTAAATAGCAAGTTAGCTGACCATTGTATTTTACATCTGTGTTTTAAAAAAGTAATCGACGATTCATTTTCGCGGTAAATATTATTTTTGCTGTCATACTTCACATTGTCTTTTGCAGACTCCTCATAATTTGTGGATGCGTTAAAAAATAAACTCTCGCATTGGGTCACATCAATGAATAAGTTTACTTTCTCTCGTGAACAAAGCGATTACTTTTCTTAACACATGTTCAAACATTCTCCTGGATGACTTTGAAAAATCAATCAACTGTCCAATATTACAATAAAGTGTGAATTCAGGTCACATGGCCTCAACTGATAAGTCATTTAAAACCATTCATACAGTCAGACGATCTGGTTCGAGAGGAACACAAATTAAAAATTTATGAACTGTAGATACATTTTAACTCTGTCTGCATAAGAGACATGTGCAAGCCATCATTCTTCAATGGACCTAACACTTAATTTTTCAAAAGTAGTAATTTGTTTGACAATGCAACCTTCTAATGTTTTTTTCTCTTCGTAATTTTAATTATTCATTAGTGTTATTACGCTTTCAACTTTTTCTTTACACATCTCATAGTTATTAAGTAGACAATTATCTTTCACTTAAGTTATTTGATTTGATTGTCGTTCCTCGAAATCACGATAATTCAGCAACTTTCTTCGATACATAATATGATGTAATCGTTTTCCGATTTTCTAGTAGATTATGTTATTTGTAAACAGTTCTATTTCAGTCATACTCATCTAATAACAATGTTGTGTTTGCGGATAAATCAATAAACATTTTTAAAATGTAGTATTATAAAGATTGTACACTGAAAAAAAGGCCTACCGATATTCAATAAAGTGAGCTTAGTCATCTTTTTAACCAAATTATTAGAAACAGATTTATTTAATGCCGTTGTTACTGTTGTTGTTGTTGATAGATTAGTGTCTTCATTTTGAAAAGCTGCATTCTGTACTGTTACATTATCCGATTCTTCAATGGGATCCATATTAATTTGTAGCTCAACCTTTGTATTAAATTGACATGTTAATTCACATGCAGCTTGAGTTGGAAATCGATTACTATTTCCACCACATCCAGAATAGTTGAATGGTCTACAACCACCAATTAAATGATGATCCTGCCCGTCCATATTCGTCACCCAATTAGGATCATAATACCACATAGTCTTGTATCCAGTACACTCGCCAAATGAAGGTTTCAGTTTACAAATGGCTATTAAACAAAAATTAAATTTCGTTTTAAAGTTTTATTTCTTAAGTTCAATGCAAAACAAAAATTTTAATTCACCAAAACATGAGCCTTACAGACTGAATATGAATATTTTTCAATAAATACACCATAAGCAAATAAATTTAGCAGATTGCAATTTTCAAGTATCGCACTCACAAATTCAACAATCTTTCTAATTTTAAACATATAAAGTAATAGAATATCAAGTTCGTAATACCAAGAATAAAAACATTAGATTAAGTATAAGGTTTTTATGTAAAAAATTTTCTACGATCAATTTGAAAATCCAATGAACATCATTTTGAGCTGTAAGATAAATCCATGATACTGACATACTTAAAAGATGAAGGGCATAAATCGGATTTTAGACTAACTAATATTTTTCAGAATGGTTTGTACATTGTGCAGAAAGATTAACGATCGAATCTCCATATTATGTTAGTGAGTACCAATAACCTGTATTGGTAAGATGATGTCTTATCAAACATGCTTAATCTGTTATTCCTTATTTAATAAATATGCCAAGCACTGTTTACTACTAATGACAAACAATTCAGGCGATTATATACATTTAATTTATTTCCTATTGTTGTTGAAAAAATCATAACTAATAGATAATTCAAGTATATATGTTCAGATGTACTCGTTTAGATTTATGAACACACAAAATGCACTGTTCGACCAATACGACTGTTGTCGTAACATTTCATATCACTAGTAAAAAAATGATACACCTATCAGGCTATACCATAAATACAGGTGATTTCAAATGACCGAATTGTATTTAAAATCCTTTTAGATTGGCTGTTTGTTACAAAAATCTTGTTTTATTTCTGTTGTTTATAAATTTTGTAAACGTTACTTCACAGCTTTGGTAAATATTTAACCCATTGGATGTTTTCAGATAATACACACTGATATTAGTTCAGTACAGACTAGTTTTTCTCTTTTATTTGCTATAAACACCTGTGCTTTCATGTTGAATCTGAGTGCACCGAAAGCATGCCAAATGGTAATGCGATATTTGTCAACAATATATCTAGGGTTTACTAAGCTAAACCGATTGTTTATTTAATATTTATTACTTTTCTTACAAACCGTTACTTAATTCTTGCCTTTAATTGTGGTTTTAAGAATCTTCTGTACGGACTTTAATCTACAAAATGATATCGAGTCACTTACATGATATATCTGGTTTTGTAGCACCACAAAACTGTTCACAATCAGCTCGTGTCAGGAAGTTATTTGAAGATCCGCCACAATGGGAATATGCAAATTCCTGGCACTGATTTGTTTCAACATCAAGATACCAACGTGATTCATGCTGACCCATATTTGGACATTCTGGTTCGATGCGCATAGCATCAATATAGGTGAGATTGTCAAATAAAATAGGTTCAGATGTTTCTTTAGAGTAAAACTGACCATCTTGGCTGATTTCGCGCCATGTATCCATTTCAATTCTAGACCATTGTGGAAATAACTTGGTTGTTGGAGCCACTTGACAAAGCTGATTAGCCACTAAAAAAGAAATGACTTAAATAAACATAAAAGTATAAATTGTTTGATTCCTAATCCATGATCTAGAGGCAGGGCCCTTACTAACGTGTCTGAGGATCCACTCTATTCAGCAGTGTCAAAGTAAATTGAAATAGTCATTCTGCACTTTCTGCATCTTCGAAGTTCCATGTTTTGCAAGAACTACACTAGATCGTCCGCCTGGAGCTCTACTTGATAAAGTAGTAGAGTGAGACGTTAGGTTAGAAATCTCAACTCATAGAAAATAAAATTGTTAAATAAATATCACATGGATTCTACCCTGGTAGCTATGACACCTCGGAAACCACGAAGCCGATTCTCCTTCTGACAATTAATGTAACAATTAATGTCGGCACATGAAATGTCTCCATTATATGAAAGACTCAGAGGACAACTCAAATATCTGCTGAAATGTAGAAATACGAGATGGAGATACTTCGAATCGGAAGAGTCCGTTGAATCCAAAATGGATGAATAAGATTAACGTTAAGAGAGTTGGTATTTTTTCCATTTTATAAAGAACAAAATGTCTCACACACATGCAATGGCACCAGTGTCATCAAAAGAGACACAGAAAGCACTTATAGAGTCAATCGTGGATAAATACCCAAAAAGGGATTCGATTATTCCGATGAGAGAACTAAAAGCCAACTGGGTGAATAGTATTACAAACTTAATTAAGTTCTTTCTTTGGGAAACTGACGAACACAGGGAATTCAAGATAGCCCTCAGCTATATATTCTAAGGCTTCCACCATCTACTCAATGAAGAGGAAACTACAATGGAGAACAATTGGAAAGGAATGAAGGAGGCAATCACTTCAACATGTCATGAGGTACTGGGTTACATGAAACACCATCAAAGAGAATGGATCTCTGTTGGTGCATTTGATAAGATTCAAGAAATAAAGAACAAGAAGACAGCAATCAATAACAGCCGAACAAGAGCAGAGTAAGCCGAAGTTCAAGCTGAATACGCAGAGGCAAACAAGCAAGTTAGGCGAAACACCATAGCTGATAATAGAAAATATGTGGAAGATCTAGCTGTGGTAGGTAGCCTTAAAGGCTGAAAGGGAAAGAAATAAGAGACAACTATACGATAAAACGAAGAAGCCCACTGAAAAACACATAGAACCAGACGGACCAGTGAAGAATAACGAATACAAGCCAATCACTTGTATTGAAGAACAGGTGGGTAGAGCCCTTTTAAAAAATACTGAATACACCAGCCTCATTGAACGCTCCCAACATTGAAGTAGAACATACAGACCTCCAGAGTGATGTTGATCCACCAGCAATTAAAGAATTCAGCATGGCCATCAGACAAATCATTAGTGGTGAAGCAGAGGGACCATGCAACTTACTAGCAGACACAGCAGCAACTACGAAAATGTCCCACGCTTTCTTCAGCAAGATATAAGGCAAAGAACAATTGAGAACAGACTGGAAAGAAGGGAATTTCATCAAGATATCAAAGAGGGGAGATCTGAGCACGTGAGAGAACTAAAGTAGCACTACTATACTCTCAATACCAGGAAAAGTTTTCAATAAAATGTTATTAAGCCTAGTGGAATATTAACATAGCAAGATCGATACACCTAAACATTTCGAGATACCAGTTTCTCACAAAACTTGAAGACTTAAAAGCTTACATTACTGTTATAGTAGTCTTTTTTTAAAAGTTGTGTGTTTTTATCGTAACATTGGAACTACAAGAATTCCAATCTTGTTTTTATTCATCTACAAAATATATTGCACAAGGTTTTACGAAACTATTTTAAATGCTAATTAATAAACATAAACTTACCTAATAAAATTTTATATGCAATTAAATCTCCACATGTATTTTCACATTCTGTGATAGATGTAAAACGATTTGCACTACCTCCGCATCCATAATAAGTAAACCAGAGACATTTTCCAGAGACTTTATCGAAATAAACCATTAGAATTGGTCGTATAGTTCTTTCGGTGTTCACAGCAGAACAATGAAAATGACCAGCTTGTGGTGGAGCTAAACACCGAGCAGTACCTATATTATAAATAAAACACATTACACAATGTTTACTCATTGAAGCTTCTCATGTGGAGTTTAGGAGTCTAAAATATTTGAGGAAAATATATATTGGAAAGAAATTAACTACAAAACATTCAACAAACTATATATTTCTTAGTCATTATAAGCATTGGGTCTCATGTAACTTTTACGTTGCTAAATGTAAGTCTTATGGGTAGTTGCTTTAAGATCTGATCCGGTCGTACTTCATAAGCAAACTTAGATATATAAGTAAACCTAACTCATCGTGTTTAGTCCTTTAATTTCCACTAAGCAAAAAGATTTCATCTTGACTACTGCAGATAGGTTTTGTTATAAATAAAGACGGCTCGTCAGTTTTTTATGTGAGCAGCCTCTTACATTTGTGTCCTAGGCACATCATATTCAATTAAACTTCGTCACTTTCGATCTGATGACATGTGCCATATTGTTTGGTCGTTTCCAGAGAATTCCCAGCCAAATAATAATATTTTATCTATCAGTTACCAGTTTACAGCGTTTCGGCAAAATGTCATAACCCGTAGAATTCACAACATCGGGAACAAGAAAGTTACCTATTAATGGTACTGGATAGTGGTTATTATTGTCTGGAGTTGACGGAAGTTTAAAGATGTTCTTTACTGGATTTCGACCCATTTGTTTATTAATGTCGATTTCAAGATCTGAATGTTTTGAATTTTTTTCGGTATGAATACTCTAGAATGAAGCAGATGTCCAGTACGAATTTAGTTAGATGATTCTTTATATGATGTTAGTTCATGATGAAAACTTTTAAAATCATACAAATCGTTATGAATCATCTTGGTTTGACTATGACTGTAAGTCAGAACAATAAGATACACAATAAAAACCAATTTAAAGTACATACAATATCATAAAACGTCGTATAAATATTCATATTTGCAAATCGATTGGTCTTTATCTACACAAAATTAGTTCACATAATTTAATAAAATAGATGTCTATGTTATTCTTAGATCAATGCTAACTTTATTTAAACAGTACTTCAAAAATAGAATTTGAAAATAATCATAGGATGAGAACTTATTGAAGCTAAATAGAATTTTAGCTAAATAATCATTTATGTTTATCGGTGGTGGAATCCAGTTAATCGAAATCACCATAAATATAGAATATTTCGACGAATTATATCATTGAAAGTCTATGAATCCCTTTTCGCTTTTTTGATTTATATTGAAAAACATCAGACCCTAAATCTTTAACCTTATCATGAGATATATGATTTCTGAGATAATTTAGGATACAGTCATACATCTGTTTCATGTTTTCACGGAAAAAAAAAACTAAATATAACGCGTATCACCTCTCCAGTATTCACATGTTTCGGTGCATTCTTTTTTCGTTATGAAATAATTATCATTAATAACGCAATCAGATGTATATTGACACTGCATTTCTGTAGGATTGTAATACCAACCACCTTGATTTTTTATGTCGCCATCTTCTAGTTTTGTACAAATTTTGATTTTTGGATACTGATAACATTTTTCTGAAAATAGATAAAATAACTAATAATGAAACAAGAGAAGATAATCGTATGAAGATAAATGACAAATTTTGAATAGAAAAACTCATACTACTACATACTTGACAAGTAGGCAAACGTTGAGAACACATTTTATGAATAGTTTGTCATTGGTTGACAATTGTGTATCTAAACTTTTCGAAAGAGGGATTTGAGTCTTATGATTGCAATCACTCATCAACAAGCTTAAATTTCGACTTTTGATAAATTAATTACGAGGTAAGTTCACTGATAAAGAAAGAATATTTTTACTCGAACATGATGACAGAATGCAATTCAACCCTGTCAGGTGTAGGCAGTAACTACCGAAGATAAATGGGTGAGTTCGCGCAAAATCCCTAGATCAATCAGAGTTAGACGTTAACACCGTTAGATGCCGGTACAGTGGTCCAATGGTTAGGCACACGCTCACAATACCGAAGGTCCCGGGTTCGAATCCTGCGAGTTGTAGAAGGGCACCGATGATGTGTCCCATACTAGGACCAAACAGCCGTCCAATGCATCCAGGTTTCTAATGGTGGTCTAACAGTGACTGATTGATGATTTCAAATGTGTAAAAACACCAATCTCCATAACTCTAATTGAGAATGCAGTTAGTCTTAAATCATCGCTTAAAGCTCGATATCTTCATGCCAAAATGTATTCTTTACATAGCTTGTAAATTTAATAAGCCGAAATGAAGATGCAGATAAATTCAATACTCACACATCAGTGTACAGCTAGTTTTTTTAAAATTAGGCAATAAGCATTCCAAGGATTAATTCAGTAACAGAAAGGAGTTTTATTCAGCTAGATTTGGTCAGAATAAAGTTTCAACCTCTCTGGGGTGATACGATGGATAAGATCTGAGTTTAATAGCCCAACCTTAATTCCATCGAGAAACGAATGGCCTAAAAAACTCATTTTATTTATTCACTTATTTAAAATGTGTCTTATAACCGTAGCTGTTTTGTGTATAATACCTTGACTGAAAACATATCGTTCTCTAAGAGACTAAACCAATTATACTGGCTAGTTTTCTTAATTTTTGATTTCACTTCACCGCAGTTTTTTCACCATAATGCTCTCAGAACTATCCTTTATAACATAAGTCAGTGAGAATTAGTACCGTTTACGTTCACATTCATGAAAAAATGCATTGATTTCGCGGGATTTATTGTTGAGACTTAAAAAGTATACTATAAAGAATAGCATGACAAAGGATTTTAACTAATGCTTGATGGGTTGGTGAATCCAGTGATAAGCTTTAAATTAGATTTTTGAAACCGATACTCTTCTATAGTATATCTGTAACCTTTATATATCCATGTTATTAACAAATCCAACTTGAATTCATTTTTAGCAAAATAACTGCATTAAAAAAAATCAAGTTGTCTAGGTTACTTTTGACAGATTCCATTATTGTTGATTCATAAGCTGAGTAGGCGAGTTAACATAACTTTCTCGAATTCTGCGTCATTACAACAATGTCACAAGGTTAACAGACAGTAAACACTGATTAATATCGACTCTTATTGGAAATGTTGTTCAGTTCATGATACACATGATTATCATTACAAGTGAATGCAATGCCAAACATACAAAACTGAATGATTATCTTAGCCATAATGTCCAACTCTTATCAAACATGTGACGCTTATGTGGTAGTGTGTTTGTATTTTTAAAATAAAATAGTTCACAAACTTTATTCACTATTAATATTACTAATATCATTAGTATTAGTATTATTATCATATTCACAGTTTATCTTAATGATATCCTCATTTAAGAATTATTAACAATATTTTTATGTGTTTATGAATATTATAATATTGATTATTACTGTTATCAATTATTATCATTAAGTGAATGTGAATAAATTCAGTCAACTGTAAATCAGTGAATGTTTCAGTACTTAATACAATATTTTATTGATAAATGTAGAATGACAATTGGAATACTTATATAGAAATTAATAACACATTTATTTGTTCATAAACATTCATTTGAAATTGTTGGAGGTAAATATCAACTGACAAATAAATATATATGTCAGCTTTGCAAGAAATTATGAGAATGAACCACATAGGAAGCCTAGGTTGATAACAGATCCCAGAAACAAGATCAATCATGACGGAGTGCGAAGGTAATGAAAATAACACGTTTACGACAACGAGTCAACGACGAAGCCAATGAAAAACATTTAGATTCTGTCGTTATGATATGGAGATAAACTCCACGTTTTTTAAGTCATCTATAAATTACGATATTTTATCATACTGAGATACAAAAATTCACACAGAAATAAAAATGACAGTCATCTTGGACTGTGATAGCGAAAATAATTACTCCCGTCTAATTCTGACTGGTTCCCAGGTACAGTGTCATAATAGTGAACGACAGTGAAGTTTATCCACAGTCTGATCAGTCACTAACAACTTAATGGTTGTTAGTACACGAAATACATAGAGCATGCAAAATTCAAGTGATCACTTTGTTTATCCTAGTGGAGTGAGTTGCATTTTGCGCATAATTAGACTACATTTGAACAATTATTTTTCTCATTGTAAAACTTAGAACAACACATATAAGCGAACAATATTGTTTTCAATTAGATTGTCATCAGGCTTCACTCTAATATACATGAGTATTTATGTGAAAATGTTAAACCAATCAAGGCAACTCGATTCAGTAATCACAATGAAATTAAATAGAATACGTCACTACACATAATAGGCAAAAGTACAAGTTGATAGTAGGAAGACAGGTGTGCTGATAGTAGCAAGAAAAATAAAATACGATAACAAATGTTTTATCAATAGTAGGTCAAATGTGGATAAATAGACTTGAAATAATCATTACAAAACATTAAAACCATTACGTATTAAGAAGTGTGTGCATAATTAGACAGTGAAGAATATGAACGGAAAGAGGCTGAAAATTACAACAAATACAGAATGTGAAAAAAATGCTAATAATAACAAAACAAAAGTTAAAAACTTTTTAAACGTTAGTTAGGTCATATTCGGCCACGGAAGAGATAGGGGTGTCATGATTTTCTTATGAAGACATAAATTGGGGTTGAATGTACGGATTCCTGCGGCTTCTGCTGTGTGTAGGAGACGGGATCGAACTCCGTTGGGAAATGATGTAGGTATACGATCGATCAGCCGAAAAGATAGTGACTTATCTACAATATAACCACCACAAACCAGATGTGCTAAGATAGAACTGCATATTGTTTTAAAATGGCCCTTCATAAACCATTCTGGGAGATGTTCACTAATTCGTTGGTTAAGTTGCCTGGTAGTACGCCCGACACAGCAATCTCCACAGGAGCAGCTGAATTTGTAAATGCACATAGAGGAGGTCAACTCAGGTAACTTATCCTTCGTTTGGGTATACATCACTGGTCGACTTGAGCGGTCGAAGTTACTGACTTCTTTTTTACATCAAACATACACTTCCTTAAGAATGCGCTGAGGTAGCCGATTTCGGTCAGTGAGTTGTTGATAAATATTGATGTATATTAGAGAAAAGCCTGATGACGATCTAACTGAAAACAATATTGTTTGATCATATGTGTTGTTCTAATACTTTTTATACTGAATATTTCATTGGTACTCTTACACTGTGTAAACTGTACTGAAAAAACAATCATCATTAATGTTTCATTGGTTATGACAAATAACACTCTAACTCAACAATAATGGAATTTATGCTGTTTCTACCAATCGAGTCATGTTGGATTGTGAATGAATATTACCTTCAAAATAAATATGATTAATTAAACAAACAACTATTGCATTCATTTCCATAAAATAATCTTCGTGACTTTCTTTCTCATTTAATTCTGTGATCATTCTTTAGCTTAACAGTCATTTGTAATGAATAATACCAAAAATGTCTAAGGGGGTAATTTTTTAGAGTGATGGATTTACTCAAGTTAAAATCGATTTTACGCAATTAGAAATATAAAGCCATTTTCTTCATAAACGTGAAACATGCAGTTGTCTCCAAGATTCAGATAATGATTTTATAAATTTGACAATTTTTAAGACATTTTTAGGCACAAACTAGGGAAGAAGTATCTAGTGATTTGTGACACTTTGAAACTTTTCAGTAATTTATATATTGTTAAAAGTCTAACAAATGAAATAGTTCATGTCTAGCTTTATATTTAGTTTGATGCCATTTAACTTCTAATTTGGAGTTTGAAGATTGATGTGTCTTACAATCATTGATGATAGCTGACAAGAAATTTTCATTTTTTCCAGATTATTTCTAATTTTTTTTCAACTTTTGATTTTATATTTGTTAGCTGGTTATTATTCATAAGTAAAAACGTCAAAGTAATGATAAGAAGTTAATTTTAGAGACAAAGGCTTCACGGCTGCTCTATCGATTTTGATAGAACGTGTAAATGGTGACAGAGTTAGATTCGAAGTAAAGTTCACCACTTTAGCAACCCGTGATCTTGACTCTTTCATTTATGAACATTTAAATATGCTATGAAATTAATCTCGCCTTCAGTCACCGCATATCATACTATGAAAACTCCGTTTATGCGACGTTGGTAATAAGAAGCTAAATAAGGATTAGGTTGGTTAAATTTATTTCATACATTTATTTAAGCAGACAGACGAGAATCAATAGTGTGCGAGTAAAGCGAAGTGAAATGGAGAAGGTGAGTCAGCCAACGTAGTGCCATGAGGCTTGACTAAGTATTTATGGGTCAGAAATGCGATAAGCAAAGTAAACGTGAGCACACATTCTCGAATAGTTAGTAAGGTCGGAAGATGTGTGAATTAACTCGAGAAGAATGGAATGATTAAATTGTCCTAAGACTGAGACCAAGCCCTGTGGGCTCGACATAAAGTATACACATTACAACCTATTTATATGCGTGAACTCGTAGCTGCAGTTACAGTTCTTACCGAATACAGTCAACGACAGTATATGTTAGTCAAATCACATTCATGAATCTAATTGGTACATATAGGAAATAGTAATGTATTACAAGGTCATAGAGTTTGATGAAAATAGTCAACCTTAACTGTATTTACGAAAGTTATACAAAGCCAACAAACTCACATGGTGAATGAGAGTAGTATGCCTACACACAACTATCTTGACCTAATTAAATCAATGCATGCAATGAACTGATTAACTTTTTTCAAGTCCTGAATTTAATATATATACATATATTGAGAATTATCCTTCTGTCAATCAAATTAGCAATGATTTCATTTTAATGATATATAGATGACAAGCCAGTATTAATGGTTTGAAATACATGATAGAATTATATTTTGGGGCAGAGTTTTGGAGGTTTGTGTTTTTTCACATTTGAAATCATCAGTCGGGTCTAGGCAGTAACTACCAAAGACAAATGGGTGAGGTCGCGCAAAATCCCTACATCAATCAGAGTTAGACATTAACACTGTTGGATGCCGGCCCAGTGGTCCGATGGTTAGGCGTTCGCGCACAATACCGAAGGTCCCGGGTTCGAATCCTGCGAGGAACAGGAGTGGTGGATGCGCACTGCTGATTAGTCCCCTACAAGGACGAAACGGCCGTCCAGTGCTTCCAGGTTTCTAATGGTGGTCTAACAATGATTGGTTGATGATTTCAAATAGAATTATATGTCGTTCATATAAGATGCTGATAGTGAGTCCTTCAGGAACTAAGTTTGTGACTTGATTATGATTAACTCTAGTTAGTCATTTCATTACGATGCCTTTGACTGGAAGCTATTCGTACAATGATAACTTTTATTGTTAAAAACTGATAAGTTAGTTATATGATAACATCGGTTAGAATCTTGTAATCATTCTGATTCAATTATCATTGAGACAAAAATACTTGAACTCACACACTGTAGGTTCATTTTGTAGAAGATCACAATTTTGAGATTTTATAAAGCTAATATCAAAAAGGTCGATTTCTGACAGAAATATGTTTGTTATTGTTACAGCATAAAAATCTGAAAACTTTTCAGGAGGAACTTTTCCGACATACGGCCAGAGTAAAGTAGCAAACAAAACGTAACATGATGATTTGTTCTTTTCTTTAAAACTATTAAAAGACTATTGAAATTTTCCGCAGCAGGGAATAGAGAAATGTAGTAGCGTTAGTTAGGCTTGACAAGACATAAGTGACTAAGAATTCTCATTTACATCACAGAAATGCAGGTCATTGTAATCATTACATCATGAAAGCATAAGAAATTAACTTCCATATTGGATATCAAGAAGTTTTAAACCGAGAAAGCTGTATCCGTTATTTATCGTCCAGGTAGTCGGTCGTAATTTTCGGAAGAGTCCGTTTATTTCTGGTAGAAAACTACTTCTAAGTTTAGACCTTAAAAATTCATTTGATGATAGTAAAAACCATTAAAAAAACACTATAAAATACTCGGTTTATACTACAAATGAAATTTTGAAGGTAGTTTATTATAAGGATATTTTTAATATTCACGTTATATTCATGTAGCGCGTAAGAAGTAAAGATAACGTTTATCAGATGTGAACTACGATTTATAGAAAGTCCTATCTCATGATTTTATTGAACTTCATCAAATGGAATTATGCAGTTCTGACTAATATGTATAACTTATTTCTTAAATGTTTTGCGCGAGTCCATTGTTTCCAAAAGTACTGTTGACAATATAAATCACTTTTTTTGTATAATTTAGTATGAAGTTACATTTCCACCATTCAGACCCGGTATTCTTCAGTACTTCAACATCAACTGATGGATACCTTGTATATAATCCAGATCGTTTGAAATGTTAATGGAGTATAAGTTTTCGAGAGATTAAAAACTCTAAGAAATTTCACTACAGACTAATGTAACCAAATTCTCGATTGGAATTCTCAATCTGAAATGCACTGATAATTTTATGCTAATATATTCTGAACTGCTATGCACAAAAATACTTCAAATTCATGTGTTGAAAAATCAATGATTCATTTAGTCCCATGAATTAATAATTCATATGGATAAGTTGTCTTCCATATCCTTTCAAAGGAGAATAAATTTTTCAATAAAAAAACTGACAGTAAAGGTATAACTGAGAAATTAATTTTCAATGAAAATAGATGGACAAACATACCTATCAAGACATTTCTTTCGTGGATTCGCTCAACGGGTTGACGGTTGATAGAGCTACTTACAAATTTAATCACAGATGACTTCTCATGTGCACTTGTGTTGCTTTCACCTTGCTTTATTGTACTTAAAGAGACAAGATCAGTCGGAATTTCAGTAACTTGTATCTCTTCTTTGGATAATCCTGACGAAGATTCTTGTATATTCACTGAAATGTCCATTTCATCAGTAAATGTTTCTGGTATTATTATTGTTTGATTTAGTTTCTGATCATTTTTTTCTAGTTCCTCAAGGTTGTTCAGAACAGTTTCATTTTTGTCAGCTAAGATTTCTTCTGTTATATCATTGTGTTCTTGTAACTGATTAGATGTTTTGAAAAAATCATTTGTCATGTCGTCAGAATACAAGCCTTCGTTCATTTCGATAGAATGGCTAGAAGATTTGTGATCATTTGTAGTGAGATTTAAAACAACTAGATTCAAATCTGAAGGAACTGGAGATAGCGTTTCTTCAGTTGTTGCATTTGGTATTAGTTTTACTTCACTACTTTCTGCTATAACAATTACATTTTCATCTTCAACGTTATTTGATTTGATGTGAAAAACAGTTATTATCTCCTCGTTGTCGTTTAAGTCTTTTGTTTGATTCTCAACTCTGAAGAAGAAGAAGCGAAATTAGGATGCCGCGAGAAAAATTTCTTTTTCTTAGAATGTATTATACCGTTTATTTATGTTCAACGTCAGTTAACAAACGTAAATGCTGAGGTGGTTTACAACTAAGATTCATACGGTTTTAAGTCAAGGATTTTGAATAACCTGTAACCTTACAGGAATTTATGATTTTAAGAAAAACCTCACCAAACAATGGATTCACTCTTGCAGAATTATTTAAAAATTTTATCAATAAACACATTTACAACTCGTATTTAAGATTATTTTTTGATTTGTGGGCCTTATTAAGTAACATCAATTGAGAAGTACAACATGGCCATTAACAGACGCAATGGATTATCACGTTTGGCCATATTTCTGGTTCGACTGACAATTTCTAGTCATAATCACAGGAGTTGGCATTTAACGATCACTTTGTCTGTAATATTAATTCTGTATTCCAAATGGAAAATAAATATATCATACTTTGAGGGTGAACTAGGAACATATTCTTCTCTTTAAGACCAACTTAGCTTTCAAAACCACCATTTTTCCCGTCAGTGGTATATAGCATCTGTGCGTACGGCTCATGAGTCACACTAATTGTATCAATAACATTGGTTCCTGACTCGGAAATTCTGACCACGTCATATATGAATGATTGGAAAACTATTCGATTTACAGAAATATGAACCTAAATACTGTGGTTTAGATATGATTCATGAAGTCGCTCCTTGAAACCAACAGAAAGTGTATTAAGGGTAAATTTATATTATATCTTATATTAACCTTAAGAAACTTTACAAGGATATGGTGCTCCAGAAAAAAAATTTTTTATTTCATTCAATTTCAATCTAAAAGAATCCAAACTTTGAATGATATTCACATATCAGAAATAATAATTTTCACAAAAACTATAGTCTAAATGAAAATTTTCCACAAATTCTTGATTGACGTTTAAAAGAATAAAATTACGAACGAGAATAATACATTTTCTTCCATCAAACGTGTTAAGAACTTTAACCTAATTCAATTTTCAAATATAAGTTTTATTCCATTGAAAACTACAATTTGATTCAGGGTACTAATAGAAATGGCTGCAACAACGGGAGGAACCCATTGCGAAAGCACAATTTTATTTATGGCTGCTTAGTGTAAAGGATAAGTGTCCACTAAATGAATGTATAAACAAGTTGAATAAAGAACACACATGTGACAATAACATACAAGGTTACAAGAACACTTACTAAGACTAAAGTAAATCGAGAAAACAAAAGTATTGTTTACAAACACGTTGAACGGATTATTATCAATTTAAATCTTATAGATTTATATATGCTAAATAAATATATATATATATATATATCGTCGGAAAGAAAATCTTCGCTACAACTTATCAGTCGTTTTAAGAAAGTATTTGATTATAATAATCCAATAAACAACTTACTGATTTCCGTCTAATGATTTTAAATCACTCTGCTCATAAGCTGAAATAGTAAAACAATGTTTAAACATGTTTAAATGCAAACTGATTAGATAAATTTTTCAATATTATAGAATATAATATTTAAGAATAGTTTATACAACTTTAAAGAGGAGAAATAAATCCTAGATATTTGCCATTTTGTTTTAATAAACCAGTTAAATTAGTCATTACAGTGTGATGATACTGCGACTGGAGTTCCACAGTGTAAGCATATAATTTAAAAACATCAAGTGTGTTTTTCGAAAATTCGGTAGTTGTTTAAACTTAGTGCTTTCAAATTCAAATGAACGAAAATATACCTAGTCAGCTAGTTGTTTCACTTTCTTTTACAATAAACTATAGGTAGTTAAAAAATTGGATGAAGTGCAGCTCAGATATTACTTCAATAAAATTTTATTCTGAATTTGAGCTGTTATCGCTACACCCACCAGCTGGAATCCCGAATATCCGCAATATAAAAATAAAAATCCTTTCTAATAACTTAAGCAAACTAGTGCTCATCTGGAATCACTGGCTTAGTGGGCAATGCGTTGGTGTCCATAGCGATAGTTAATTAGTTTAAGTCTTAGTGTGAACGTCAACACATGAAAGTGAATTTATTCAGCCTACGTCTTTCAAGTAGGAAGAAACACTCATTAGAAATTCCATCATTGGTCATAATGCAACTACAAACGTGTAATCAGAGGGTTATATTGGTGGGTTGATCATAGGTGTAATTTTAAGTAAATGAAGACAAAAATGTATAAACCTTTGCTGACTAGATGAAAAAGTAAGGAAGCAATATCTGTTACGGAAGAAAAAGACTTACCTCTGGTCCTTTTTCCAGGTCAGTTATGAAATTCTGGTTAAAGATCTAAACAGAATACCTGGAGAGATGAGTCGGGCTTTTAATTTTCTACCGTTTCGAGACTAAGTGTTTGTCTAAGTCTTCTTGAAAATCGAGTTCCATAATGTGAGTTTCAAGATATGTTTGTCAAAAACCAGAATTACAAGGAAAATGCTGCTTTTTGTAGAAAGTCGGAATCTTTTCATTACTAAGTCTCAATTACTTAAACATTTTTATACATATTTCAGGCTAAAAATAATAAGACTTCTCTATATCTAGACCACTTACGATCTACAGAACAATGAGGGAATACAACCCCTCATTTTTATTGCTTCGAGTCAGAAGTGTGGTTAAAAAATTGATTTATTTTTTAGCGGCTCACTCCTGGACTCCAGTGTGGACGAATGATCTGGTGTGCAGTGAAATAAATCTTCCTGTCCATTTCTGTATATCATACCTAGTCAAACCCTTTTCGTGCGACGGCAGTAGTAAGAAGAGAAATACGGTTTCACGGATGAATTTATTTCATGTATTCCTCTATGCAGAGAGACATGAGAATGGAAAGCGTACAAGTAAAGCGGAGCTAATCGGAGAAGGCGAGTGAGCCAACTCTCCATGTGCTGAAGAATGACTAAGTACTTATAGTCAGGCATAATAAGTTAGACATGTGACAAGTGAGTAAGCATGCACACACACACACTCAAATATACAACAATCGATACCGTAATCGAATCATTACAAATACAAATATACTAATATAGAATAATTTAAACGACTAATCATTGAAGTATAAAGAATAAATGGTCAGATACCTGTTTCTCTTCGATCCTATCAGTGATGATATGAATAAAATCTATCCTAATTTGGGTAATTTTTTAGTTACATCACATAATGTATGTTTATATATTTGTATTATAATTTACCGGTTGAGATTTCTATCGTTTATTTCTACATAACATTAAAATTTCATTGTATAAGAATCCTTTCTTAGTGTCCTTATTGTAAAAAAGACTTTTTCTTTGTTTTTTAATAAGTAAAATGAATAGAACAATAAACTCTCTTACCTGACGAATTATGTAATTCTTCTGAATTAAAAGACAATTCTCCAATCAAATTGGTTTGTTCCCCCAGTTCATCATCTTTTTCTTCATATTTTGAAATATTTGTATCTTTACTAGATTCAACAACTTCCACATTATCAACAGAAACAGTCTAAAAACCAAATTGAAATTATAAATCACATTTGTATTCAAATCAACAATTAAGAATATGTGAAAATCTAATTTTATTAAAATCTTAATCGATTATTATCGAGGTTGTTATGATTACAAAAACATAGTATGTTTATGTGTGTATATAGTCTATAGATTTATTCCAGCGTTAATTTATCCTACTACTGAAAACAAACATTCTAGAAGTGGTCGAACACAATTTGTACATTAAAATACATGATTCATTGTTGTAGAGATTACGAATTACGAAACTTAGAAGACTGTGAGACTAGGAGGTCTGTTTAGATAGTTTTTCTTTGAAGGATAAATCATAGGATTACTTGAGTCCTATGTCTTCTACTGTGTGAAATATCGATAAAACCTCATCACTTATGGTAAGGTCTAGGTTGATTAAAGGATTACTAAAGCAGATCCATTAACATTCGATAGTGTTAAGCTCCAATTTCCAGTTTCAGTACCACTTAACTGGGCTGCATACTGTTTCAGTTTTGTTTATATTTCAGCCGATGATGGGACATTGGATTAACTACTTTAAGATCATCTTCATATAGAAGAGACTTATCTGCAAAGACGAAATCGCAAATATCAATTATCTAAGCTAAAAAGAGCGAGGGACCTATGACAGTAAGTTGTGTTACCCCACTTTTGACCCAGACAGCATCCTATGATCAGGACTTTATTTAGACTTTTGATGTCGATGGCTGAGGAAACAATTAAACTAAGTAAGAAGAGGGTTTCTTATCCCGTAAGATAGGCGTTTGCCGATAAGAAGCCCGAAGCTAACTAAGTGGAAAGCTTTAGAAAAGTTAAAGTCTGTCACTATGAAAAGTTGTCCTTGGTTATGTTGAGTAAAGGCTAAGTTAGAACAACACATATAAGCGAACAATATTGTTTTCGATTAGATCGTCATCAGGCTTTACTCTAATATACATGAATATTTATATGAAAATGTTAAACCAATCAAGGCAATTTGAGTGATAATCACAATGAAATGAAAAAGATTACGTAACTACATCTAATAGGCAAAAGTTCAAGTGGATAATAGGAGCTGGCCTCCTCTATGTGCATTTACAAATTCAGCTGCTCCTGTGGAGATAGCTATATCGGGCGTACTTCCAGGCAACTTAACCAACGAATGAGTGAACACCTCCCAGCATGGTTTACGAAGGGTCAGTCAAAAACAATACGCAGTTCTATCTTAGCACACCTGGTAGATAGTGGTCACATTGTAGATAAATCTAGATCTTTTCGGGTGATCTATCGTATACCTCCATCATTTCCCAGCGGAGTTCGATCCCGTCTCCTACACATTGCAGAAGCCATAGGAATACGTACATTCAACCCTAATTTATGTGTTCAGAAGAAATTCGTGACACCCCTATCTCTTCCGTGGCCGGATATGACGTAACTAATGATTGACATATTTTTATTTTTATTATTTTTGATTTATTATTTTATTTTATTTTTACACATTTGCTTATTACGTAATGTTTTTGACGTTTTTGATGATTATTTGAATTCTATTCACCCACCCTTGACCTACTTTAGTTATCATATTTTACAAATTTTCTTACTACTATCAGTACACCTGTTTTCCTATTATCCACTTGAACTTTTGCCTATTAGATGTAGTTACGTAATCTTTTTCATTTCATTGTGATTATCACTCAAATTGCCTTGATTGGTTTAACATTTTCATATAAATATTCATGTATATTAGAGTAAAGCCTGATGACGATCTAATCGAAAACAATATTGTTCGCTTATATGTGTTGTTCTAATTTTCACAATGGGAATCTTTAAAATTCTTAAAGGCTAAGTAGCAAAAGTCAAAGCGGCAAGTCATACGAGATCGAGTTTTCAGGCATCTATGTTGAAAATCAGTTTTGAGTTTTTTGATGAGCAAATAGTTGGAAAGTTCGGCCCCAAGAATTATTCTCATTATCTCAAAGATAAATGAAGTATATTTATGGGCCGATGATTGTTCACGTAACGCGTGGTATGATGCATGAGGTCTTTCAACAGTTAGGGTAAGTAGCAGTTTCCAGAGAGAAAAAGAGAGAATAAATAGCTTAGGAAGAAATAGTGGTATATCATAACCGCCATACTTGAAGAGAGTGGATCAAGTCCCGTCTACCTCATGATTGATTGAGACCTTGAGGGAGTTGATAGCTTTACTTATTGTTAGGTAAGTGCGAGAAACAGAATTTATTGACTTACAAGTTGCATAAATGTCTTTTGAACTAGTGTTGTTTCAGAACTCATTGTTGTTCCCAAAAATATAACTGAAAAGCTTTGTAATGGTTTTAGAGTCATTTATAAATGTTTGATTAGGCGAGATACCTAGTATGTTCTAACGCGTTAAATGAGGAGTATTATGTTTTGTACTTTTGAGTTGCTACCAATTCCTCATTGATGGTTTTCAACCCATACTTTTCCTTAATTTGGTTAAAAATAAGGGTTATTTGTACTGCTACTGTAAAGACATTTGACTTGAAATAGCATTTCTTAAAGCGTCTTAATTCATTACGATATTTAATTGGTATAAATAATTCTTTAGGTTTACTAATACGGTAAGTTTTAAGAAGTTTACATGAATCATAACAATGGTAAGTGATATGCTAGAACGTATCAGCGGCATCTATGAAACTGTTGCTTGAGTAGTTATTCTATTCAATGGTTCTTACCAGGGAATGCATGAATTCCCAGTCAGCATGTTTTTAATCCCTACTCTGACCAGTTTTCTGTGTGAGACGATCATACAAGAGATGGATACGAAGAAAACTAGCTGCCATTTTCTTATCACTCCAGTCAAATTCATTATGTACTTTTATAGATAGTGAGATGATATCTCTACAAAATATTAAATCTGGTATATAATCGTTTCTTGTTGGAGAACGAACCCACTGTGACCAACAGGACATATTAATTGTTATTAAGACTTCATTGTCACCTGACTGACCACTACAATTAATCCGAACTACCGAAGACACTGTCTTTAACTGTACTGGTTGTTAGGCAACTTGGGACGTATAAAAGACAGCCATCTTTATATTTGCTTTCTCAGTTACATCAATAGAACTGTCAGTTCAGAATATTTAATTCGGAATCAGACATTAAGGGAAAATACAATGTCTCAGTGACAAGTAGGAAGAAAGGTTTGGCTAGCAAAAATAAGGTTCTGAGGGCTGAAATTTTATTTGGAAATGAACGTGCTTTGATAAGTGATAAGTTTAAAAGATCAATAACGCCCTTATCTACGTTATATATTTTAGAGGTGACGGGACTATGGTCTGGTTTCGACTCCTAATTGCATGGGCTATGGCTTGAACTAGCTTCAAGGAAAGTGGGACTTGCGGCATTTGCGGACCAAAAAAATCATTATCACGGTAAGGTAAACTCATTTGGTGAAAGTGCTTTGGCAGACAGTTAGGAAAGTCAACTGCTTGCTGAGGTCGAGTGTATAGTGCGTAACCTGTTGGTTCATCAAGCATTTTCAGAAATACGCCTCTATCTAGTGAAAATTAGTATTAAACTGAATTCCAATGTTTTCTTATAACTATCGTATAAGATTTTCATTAACAAATGAATTACTGAACAGTTTTGCTCATATAACCCGAGAATGGCTTCACTCCACCCGTAGGTGCATTTTAGATGAGTTTATTGGTTAACTGTTTGTCATTTAAGTGTTTTTTCTCTGTGATATTCCAAGATAAATGAGGTTACTATAGAATAGTATTCATATCAAATAAATTTCACTGACCCATTGAACATTATACAGAAGAACTCCCTTAGATACGAGGCATTTATAAGACATTTTATTGACAAAGTGATAGATATGGAGCAAAAGATACATTCTTAGATACTATTTCAGATTCTTTTGTTGAGATACAAATTACTTTATCTGAAATAGGTTCTTGCAATAAATCAATAAGTATTTTTTGGAATTATTTTTCATCAGAAGAAAGAAGGAAATTTCTGTGAAGCAAAAGAATGAAACTAAAGTCGATTCCTTCGTGGTTGTTTTTAACAAAATTAAAAAGCCCATCTAAAGTCAAACTTCGTTTTCACTCGATAATAATTTGTGACTTACAATATATAAGTTAACAACTATGTTTAATGAATTGTCGTTTGTACAATATTTGATTAAAATGTTTCTCTAGATTTTACAACCTGTGGTGAAATTTTCAAATAAGTATTCAACAATTATTTATTATGAATATGTGTTCAATATAAAATAATTATCTGTTTTTCTAATTATACAGTCATAAAAACTTAGACTAAATCAATATCCATCATTAATTAGAATTATTCAATTCCTTTCTTTTACAACATCATTGCTAAAATGTAAAATAATTATGGCACCGGAAGCTGGCTACACAGTATCGATTGAAGTTAGAGACGTTGTATATTAGGTGCTTATTTAAAGACAAGCATTTATCTCAATAATTGACTGCCCTGGATTCAACCCCCTGATAAGACCGTGTAAATGAACTTTTGAGAAGTTTCATACTCGTATAAAATAGCTGTGTAGCGCTTTCTGATTTTCAAAGGTTATTTCAAGTCTCTATGTAAAATATGAATTATAAAACTTAATCTAATAGTTATTAGTTTATATTGTAAACTGGAATAAATATTCAAACAATTTCATTTAAAAGAAGGAGGCAGTATGTGAAGCAATTTAATCAATGGTAAATTATAACTTACTTTTTTAATAAAGAAACAGCTGGAAATTAGTATAAGTATTGGTATTATTAACATAAACTTTTTAATCATTGTTTCAAGAGAATCGTTTTTTTCAGTGTTATTATTTTCAGTTACAATTAAATTTATTTCAGATCAAGTTTTACACATTAAATCCATTGTATTGAAATATATATTTCAACTAAATAGTCATTCAACACTAATAACCGGCGCTGTTTATATATGTTATGAAATATAAATTAAATCAATTAAAATGACCAGTTTGTTTACATTAATTATTATATGCTACGTGATGTTATATGAACATTCTGCATATGTCAACTGTCGCCTTATTTACACTCTTTCATTTTAATTCAATTATATATGATTAAAAATATATCACTGTAAGTGTATTTGTTTGAAAATACTTAACAAATTCTAACGAAATGATGCTATCAGTCCGAAAGATGGTGCATTAATTAGTTTGGTAATATATGCTTACTCCCATTGTGTAAAAAATAAATGGGGAAACTAATAACTTATACTACTCTTAATTTTATTTCAATAATTGTTAATTAGATTCGATCCTAGTTCGTGATGAAAATCGTAAGTGTATGTTGTTCTGTTCTAAACTAGAGTGACATGTAAATTATTGCTTACTTGTATCAGTTGAGAACAGACATAAATAATTGGTTAATTGAAACCTAATCTACTTTTGGAATTTAAATAAATACTACAAACATCATTTTATTTTATGCTTTATTGGCCATAGCTTTTGAATAAAATAGTATAATGGTGTAGTGATATTCTTTTATTGTTGCTATAGGCTACGTAGAATTACTGACTTGGATTGTTTCCTAATAATATTATTTGATTTAAATTTCTGTTCATAACGTTAGTGTGAAAGATGCCAAATAACAATTTAATAATCGTTTGAATTCGATTTGTGGTAGTTACCCCATAAGGAGATTACAAATAACGCTTATTAAATAACGTTTTGTTTTCATTTCGCCATTTAATGTACAATATGGTTCTGAATGTTACTTTTTCTACAGGTTTCTTATTTGTAAATAAACGTTTCGGTTCATAGTGCTAACATTTTCTAATGTACATTATTATTTACTTTGCGAATTGTCATATACCGATTAATTTCTTCTAAGGGTTCACTCTCACCCTTTCTCTGTCTCCTGGTGATCGACTGGATTCTGAAGACGTCGACATCTGAAGGGAAGCACGGTATATAATGGACAGCTAGGACGCAGCTGGACGATCTGGACTTCGCAGATGACCTGGTTCTTCTATCGCACACGCAACAACAAATGCAAGAGAAGACGAGCAGTGTAGCAGCAGCCTCTGCAGCAGTAGGTCTCAATATATATAAAGGAAAAAGCGAAATTCTCCGACGCAGCGCAACATGCACCAACCAAATCACTCTTGATGGAGATGCCTTGGAGGACTTTAACAGTTGTCTACGCAAAATACTTCGGATTCGTTGGCCAGACACCATCAGCAACAACGTACTGTGGGAGAGAACAAACCAGATTCCAGTGGAGGAAGAAATCAGGAAGAAGCGGTGGAAGTGGATAGGACACACACTACGAAAAGCACCTAACTGCGTCACGAGACAAGCCCTCACATGGAACCCTGAAGGCAAAAGGAAAAGAGGAAGGCCAAGGAACACATTACGCCGAGAAATAGAGAAAGATATGAGAGGAATGAACAAACATTGGACAGAACTGGAGAGGGAAGCCCAGGACAGAGTTGTTTGGAGAAAACTGGTGAGCGGCCTATGCTCCATTGTGGGTAACAGGCGTAAGTAAGTAAGTAAGTAAGGGTTTACTAAAAAACTCGATTGAATAAAAATACCTGTATTTGTACCATCAATATTATTGAGAATTTGTCAAGAACTGAAAAGTTTTACCTGAGTTCTACCATAGTGAAATAAAAAAGATAAAATGCTTTCTGTCATAACGTTACTAATTAGAAATGGCTGGCATACACACATCCAAAATGGTAATAAATAAGAATAAAGATATGATTTCGGTCTACGCTAATGCTAATAATAACCCTAAATTTCCAAACTACCGAGTCATATATATATATATATATATATATATATATATATATAACCAACTGGCCAAAAATAATGCTTTCAATCAAAACTTTATGAAGTTCCACAATAATATTTATATAATATTGTTTACGAGTAATGTTTACGAGTCAGTAATAAGAATGAGAGAAATTAAATGGATACCCCTTCATGGATTTGTGCCATGTTTTGGTCTGGCCACCCCTAGCTTTCTTCCAACTTACTCCTACACCACAAAACATAGCTCGTCGAGGCAGTCAGTGGTTGGGCATACGTAACACATGTCCCAACCACCCCAACTGATGAAGTTTCAATACTTCATCTATTGATCCGCCATACTTACCTACTACTCGTTTCCTAACGATAGCATTGCTTACTCGGTTGTCCCGGCCAATGATTCCGAAACTCCTATAATCGAATACAAGCAATCTACGAGTGTCCTCTACTCTCACCGACCAGTAAACTCGACCCTTGGTTAGCAAACGGATGTCTGTCCTACCCGATAAATGACGTAGGTTGGCAAAAGCCAATCGAGCCTTCTGTATCCGTGCTGAGAATTCTTCAGTCACCAGGCCATCAGCTCTGACGAGACTCCCGAGATAAGTGAAGCGGTCAAAACACTCGACTACTTTACTCCCTATCACTAGTTCAGATGCCGATTTAACCTAATCTTGAAGCAACATTTTGCATTTCGAGGTTGAGAACCGCATCCCGAACATGCTTAGATTGTTGCTTATGGTAGTCAGAAGACTCTGCATTTTGTCAGTGTCTTCACCAAATAGGACTATGTCAGCGGCATATTCTCAGTCAGCAAACGTGTCTCCTAGTAAAAGGTCCACTCCTGAAGAGTCAGATAATGATAATGTTAACTCTAGAAGCATATCTACGACACAGTTAAACAAGAATAGGGAGAGTGGACAGCCCTGATGGACATCATTTGGGGTAACCGATTCCGATGACAGTTCGCCATTAGGCTCTTACTCGACTAGTGGTGTTCGAGTAGAGAGCCTGTATAAGGTTGATGTACTTCTTGGTACACCTTTCAATGACAGACACTGCCACAGAACCACACGATCCACTGAGTCAAATGCCGCTTTAAGGCCGAGAACTACTATTATTGTGGGGCGTCTGAACGTGTATCTTTGTTACAGGACCTGACATAGTGTGAAAATGTGGTCTAAACATCCACCTCTAGGTCTGAAACTAGCCTGGTTTTCTATAATCTGCTCTTCACGAACTTTCGTTAAGCGTCGAAGTATTATTGAGACCAATATTTTCGACACCATATTAGTCAGACTGATTCCCCTGTGTTATTCACAAGAGGACTTTTGTCCTTTCTTATCGACTGGGACAACCAGTGATTGCGACCATTCAGATGGTATTACGCGTGGGTGACCGAAGTGTGGCTGATGGCCAACTGAACTTATCCCTTAAGTGTTCTGCCCGTCGATTCAATATTATGGATTGAGAATGACTAATGGTCCCATAGGTTCCGAGATAGTATCACTCACATTGCGGTTCCTAATACCAGTTTCCTTGATAAGTCGGAAGAACTGTCTGCCGCTGCCTATCGACCTCACTCTTCATCATGTTCACAGCCAAGAGGGATGAGTTTACGAGCGTCTATCTGTTCGGTGGATGCTACTAAGATCCACGGCTTCTTCCTAGCCCTATAGTTTACCTTGCTAGAAGATATCATTGCTGCTTCCACAGCCGTTTTGATATAATTCCAACCTGCCTCCGAATATGAATGGCTTACATGGTCGCCAAACTGTCTTTCTAGTTGTTCCTGGAATATATTCTTAGTTTTATTATCATAAAGTAGAACCCTAACAGGTTTCCTTGCCATGGCTTTCCTACGTCCAGTAAGCCTCAAACAAATACGCGCTGGCGATAGGGCGTGATCTGAATTAAACATGTACCCCAGGACTCGCGACATTCCTCTATCGAACCCCTTCATCGGTGGCTGGTGGCGATGTGATCTAGTTGGGTCCAACGTTGAGACAGCTTTTGGGGGTCGCCAGGTCAAAAGATGTTTTTCCTTATGATTAAAGTTACTGTTTGCTAGAAATAGGCCGTTATCTGAGCACAGTTGCAGCAGACAGTCGCCATTGTCGGTTCTCTGAGCCGTGACACCACAAGATCCACCTAGCAGTCTTTCCTTTTCACTGAGTCTCCCCACTTGAGCGTTAAAGTCTCCATTCATTATAACTATATCAGAGCGCCTATCTTTTTGGAACAGTTCCGAAAGCTCTCTGTAAAACTCTTCTTCCCTACATCTGAAGTACAGTCAGTCGGAGCGTGGGCGGGGACAGGGAAGAGGCAACGGTGAATGTCCCTATCTTTCTGAGTCCTTACTGTCCCGTTCAGCGCACAAGCGACTATCTACAAGAATCCAGTCAAGGAAAGATAGTTCTGCCCTACGACTCAATGATATACCTACGCCGGTGAGTCCCTGGAAGCAGCATCAGGGCTTCCAGATACACGAAGAGTAAATCGAGCTGCTTGTTTATTTTGACAGGGTGAAATCAAATTATTGATTTTACTAGGATCCTGTATGCGCGTTTCCAAGACGCAGCATACATCGATGGCGCGAGATTCTAAAGTCCTAGCTGAGGATGCCTGTTGTGCTGTTTGACACAATGTCCGTAAATTAAAATCTCCAACATGTAGTTTAGGATGGGGTTTCAAGAGACCAGGAATAACTTTTCGTGAACTCGCATCGTTTGTATCAGCGGTGCAGTGAGACAAAGGAATGTGAGAAGAGTTATGAGGTGAAGTAAGGATTTGATTGTGACCAATTTGGTCTCGTGTGCTGGCACGAGTATGAGGGCGGATATCACTTCATGGCAGCCCACACCGTGGAAGGGTGTTTCTTGAGGGACCTGTAAAGGATATCGATTGAACGTTGGTCTTAGAGACCTGGGAGCGTGACTGCAGAGCCCAGGCGACAACTGCTTCAGGTCGGTCACGCGCGACCTTTTAAACG